GGCGAGCTGAGCACGATCCAGGATTGCCACGAAGAGAAGCCTTTCGTCAGGGCTAGGAATTCAACGAGCTCTAGCTCAGCGGTTGGGCTGGCATGTTTCTATGTTGAGACCGCACACGGAGGACAACCACGCCCTTCTCCAGTCCAACTACGATGCGTTGAGGAAGGCCAGAAGTTAGCCTGGGAAGCCCACAGTCCCAAAGAAGCTAGTTGAGTTCGGCGCAACAGGCTGGATGTCAGTATCAGTAGGCCAGATCGCGTTTCTGCGCGCCGAGTCAAGACTGCGGATCAGAGCCCCACCGTTTTTGCAATTTGCTGTTCTCGACCCTACACACTCGAGTCCTTATGCCTGAACCTCGAAACCCTGAGCCCCAAACAAGGCATCAGCGCCAGCTGAGAGCGCCACCGCCCGGCAGGCCTTGGGTGTCGAAGCAGATAGGGCAGATGCGGGCAAGGAGTAGGAAAGGGAACCCCTGCCTGAAGTACAGCCATGTGGCAAGCATCTGCCTAGCTTCCCGAAGCCCACGCAAGCGCCATCAAAGCCTTACCTCGGACAGTAAAACTCTAAGCTGCTCCCTTCAGCAACGTGTGTAGGTGTGTAAATACATATACACATATACTTAGACCAGATATAAGATGATGTCATGTAACCTGAGCATGATACGCTCTAAGCTCAGTAATGTCATATGATATAGGATAAGATAAAGTCAAGCAGCGTAAGATAGCACAGTAGCATAAACAGTAACATAAACCACATGTGCTGTCGTATGGTAATGTGGTGTAGCGCAGAGGGGGTGGAGTATCATTTCTAGAAGTATCACATATACTCATCTAGATATAATATGTATCAGATGCATGTATATGTGTATATGTAGATGCTAATATATCTACACGTGCACAGCAACTAAATACACTGGCCACAACTTTGGCGGTGGAAGGAGACCCCCGGCGACTCCGGGGAGATGCTCCTGACCTCCAGGCCTTGGGTCCTCCTTTGGACGGAGTTCTCCGTCTTTGTGAAAAGAGTGTAGATCTTAAAAGCGGTCATTGTGAATAGGTCAGGGTACATACATGGGCAGGTTCGTATTATATGTACATACGGATGTATGGATGGATGAACGGAGGGATGGACGCTGGGATGATGAGACATAAAACCTCGGCCTATGCCTCAGTAGCAGAAACTAGCCGTTCTCGAGCCACAAGCTCAAGGAGCGAAAAGCGGCAAGCAAACACATCGAACCCCAATGTCCCATGTCAATTTACTCTGCTCCCACTCCCACTTGGAAGTTGCAGCTTCGGCTTCTGCAGAGATGGCTATACATCGGTTGCGAGGCAGCGTGCTCTGCTCGGAAGCATGGCGGTGAGCGCCCAGGCAGGGTTCAGGGTTTGGGCAGGAAGCACAACAGCCCACAGAAGTTACTTAGGTAGGTTACCAGGATATCCCACGTGGCCAAAGTACCGTGGCGGCTCTCCGCTCGCGGGCATATAGGCTGTAGTCACAAGGCGGTTGACGGGTCAAGGGAACAAAGCACGTAGGCTCAGAGTGCGTAGACAGAACGACGCTTGCAAGATCGCATAAGACCCGAATTTGCTGCGATCCTTGCGATGTGAGACCGGGCTCGAAGGATCTGTCGAGGGCGCTGGTTTTGGTATTAAATTCCTCTTTATTCCTGATCCTGCGACCGTCAGCTGGTCTTATGCCACTGCCGCCACCCACCACCACCACCACCTCCTACTACCACTACTACCACTATACTAACACTACCAACACTATTACTACTACTACTACTACTACTACTACTACTACTACTACACTACTACTACAACGACGACTGCGACTGCGACTACGACTACTACCACTACCACTACCACCACCACCACTACTACTACTCCCACTACTACTACTACTACTACTACTACTACTACTACTACTACTACTTCTACAACTACTACTACTACTACGACTGCCACTGCCACTGCTACTACTACTACTACTACTACTACTACTACTACTACTGCTACTGCTACTTTTACTACTACTACTACTACTACTACTACTGCTACTACTACTACTACTTCTACGACGACGACGACTGCTCTACTGCTACCAACTACGACTACCACCACGACTGCTACTACTGCTACCACCGTGCGACCTAAGCCCTAAACCGAAAGTAAGCCCTTAACCTCAAAACCCACCAGAACGAAAACATACAAAACAACATCAATCATCCCAAACTGATGCCGTCGCCTGTGTCGAGCTCTTCGCCCACGATCATCGGTAGCTGGTTGCATTGCTCGGTGGCTGTTGAAGTTATGTTCCGTGTTCTGCAGCCTAGAGGCGTGGCAGCACAGCCTGATTCGCTCATCTATCATCTATCCCGTTGTCCCTGTACTTACTTCATGACAAGGCACCAAACGAACTCGTTCGGGTAAAGATGCGATAAAGATGCAGTCTTGATGCTCAGAGTCATGGTAACTTGCTGGCCTGCCTCATGTAGCCATGTGCCGGATTAAACAGATCCTTCTTTCGGGACAGGAAAGCTCCGGCATGAGGCAGCATGGGTTCTTCGCTTGGAGCCTCGGTGACTTCGGGTTGACGATTGCCAGGAATAGCCGGGAATGCGCGATGTCTAGTGAAGCGCACATGATGTTTAGATGTAATCTAACGCTTGAGCTTCGTTCGATCCCGTTCACGCCATTAGCTTTCTCACTGCGATATGAAGGTTTCAGTTTCTGAGAGTCCATGAGGTGAGTGTTCTTGTAGCCTGTAATAATGTGAGACAAGGGAAGCATGCCTGAAAACTTACTCCTACACGAGGAAGAGGAAGGCAACAGAACGAACGAAATCCCAATTGTCACATCATGTGAGCAGCAACAATCAGGAGAGAAACCACTGCGTTAAGACGTGTGATAGAGTGGGCGAACGTCGAAACAAGTTCATTTCAAGAAAGTTTCTGGGGCTGATGATGGAGCTTCTCCGAGAAACCGATATGGGAAGGCTCAGTACAGCTTTGCCTATTGAAGCCTAAGCGACAGCAAGGTGGACGTCGTCAGTCTCGCCCATGGAGAGGTGTCTCTGGCATCCGGGCCGCCCCGCCCCGAGGCAACCGGAGTTCCCCTCCGGCGTTAATCTCGCAGTGCCTTGGACAAGTCTTTCTGCGGAAAACGGTATACTGCAAGCAAGACTCCTGCTTGCTCTTCCGAGCCGCGCAGTCCCCTTAGGCTTGAGGAGGCCCTCAATCACGAAAACTGGTAGAACGATAGTCACCCTTCTCGTCTCAAGGGTTTCGGGGCGATGCAGCAGCAGGCGCTGGAATCCTGGGAGCTCGCGATTCGCAAGGTCCATGCCTCATATTGCAGGGTGAGGGAGTTGGAGGATGTTGGAGGTATCCTGGGCTTCTTGAATGCTTCGTGCTTTTTGGATTAAGTGCACTAAACTCTGAGGCAGGCTTCAGCTGTGGAGCACAGGCGAATCTTGCGCTGCATGTCACCAGGTCTACGAGCAACACATGTACAAGCTCGAGAAGCAGGCCAAGTGATGTCAGTTGCTATGCGTCAGGGCTCAGTCTTGTTTCCTTTTGGCAGTCGTCTTTGGCAGCCTTTGGCACACTTCTCTGGCGATCCCTGTGATTAAGCTTCGTCTTCTAATCATCTGTCAGCCCGCAGCACTAGGCGCATCTGTAGGTTACAGTCGCATGATGCCAGCAGCACGATAACCTGCGACAGGGCAACAGCTCCCCAAGGCAAAGCGTCACTAGCAAAAACCTTCTGGCTGCATTTGACTTCTGCTTTCACACTGCGACGTTTTCTTCAGGTGGTTGCAGCGGACAACAAAGCTTTGGAGACCGGGTTGCATGTGTGAGGGCCCTGCGCGGCTGGAACAATCCTTAACTTCATGCAGCAGGAATTGTCGTTTCAAGTGCTATCTCATGATTTCATGACGGCGCCTCGTGCGTTTGTGCCAGTGAGAGCCAAGATGAGCCAAGACTGCAGTAGCTCAGTAGTTAAAGTCGTTGGAAGTCCCCCATACATACAGGACTGAGTAAGGCCCCGGTGTTTAGTCTTGTTGTCGCATTCCCAGATGAACCGCTTTTTTCATTGCAGGAGCTCAGGATGAAGGTTTGCCGCAAATAGCTCCAAGTGTGGCCTTCATGGTTTTGAAGCTTGCTGCGAAGATCCGGAAGTTTCATTCCACACACTCGGCTGTCCGAGGCATGACTACTGCGGTCAGATCCAGCGTCAAGAAGAGGCTGCGAGGGGACTTTCAAGGATTTCGAAAACATGCAACGCAACCCAAAGACCAAAGCTGCAGTCTCCCTGATACTTGCAAGCTCAGCCGCCTTCACCAGGGCAGAAAAGTTCAAACCAGACCAGCATTGCAGGAGAAGAGCGAGCTTGCGAGTCAGGCAGCGGCACGTCCGAGCTGTGCGTACAATAATGCAGCCAATGAAGCTCCGCAAGAGTTCCCAGTACGGAGGAGGTTTGTTGGGAACTGCAGAGGTCGAAGCAGGGGAGAAACAGCTCCAGAGCCTGCGCGAGGACGCGATTCCCACTGAAGCATTCGGTTAGTTTTAGGGCCCCTGCCCGTGGCAGACTGATCACCGACCCATGGGTCATCATTTTTTCTACTGTTGGGGATTGTTGCGGTGCTGTGCTGATGTAATTCAACATAGGCGACATCATATCACGGGCATTGGCAGAGACTGCCAACACCATCTCCCTCTCTACTCTAGGACATGGAGGCCACCCGCAAGAACTACGATGGCCAGCTGGCACCTCCGCCTAGTTGTAATTGAAGCGCTCGAAGTCTACGCTTCGTTTGGAGAGGCCTTGCGAGTGTAGTCATCATCTTAGATTTCGGAATTTCGGAGTGTACATAGCAGAGCTGAACCACTGAAGCCACATGTCCAAGTTCCTGCAAGTCGAAGATGACTTAGCGATTTTCAATGACGATGTTGCACAGGGGCTTCTTGCAACTTCTGGCTTTGGAGCCAGGGCATGCTGACGGAACACATCTGCGACGGGGCGCCTAATCCGATGCCAGCTGTTTGCACAATCAAGGCCCTAGCGGATAACTGATAACTGCCTATCATGTGACAAACCATCATCCCGTGGTTTGGGCCAAGCGTGACAGGAGTCGTAATGTGTCCTATTGATTGCCAATGAACTTAGACGCTGTCCCTCCACCTCTCGGAGAAAGATGCGAGTCTCGCGACCTTGCAGGCGCCTCTATTCTTGTTGTGTGGATTGTTGCTGGGCGTCTTGTCTTCGGATTCTGCTGTGCCACTGCATCCCATAATGACAAGTGTACGTTCCAGAACATTTTGGACCAGCGACCCATGGCGTCAGGCGCACAAAGTCCTTTGCGGTCGCTGCGGCATGTGGAATACCATGGGGTTCGCGACTCATCTCTTTGACGAGTCGAGATTCTGCAGGCCCTGTGGGACGTCCAACCATGGGGCTGACCGTTCTGCAAACTTCCCGAGCAAGCTGCAATTCCCCGCCCAGCATGACTCTCGTTACTTAACTGCCCTGTGCTATGACGGGAAGGGACCTGCTCCTGCACATTTATGTGGTAGAACTCTTCTAGAACCATGCCAAAGTCCCAAGAAGGTTCCACATAGCTGAAGTGACGGTGCCATGGCACGAAGTCGCCGCGGTATACTACTGCAGACAGCGCTGTGCCTGACTGCCTGGGAATGCTTGCACACGGCGTTCATCAGGCCCCGTGGTTCGCAGATCGTTTGATGCCCCGGAGATACAGTTTAACGAACGCCGACCACGATGCAGACTACGCCATCTAAGTTCACCCATATGCCCTAATTATCAACGGAATCACAGGTTGCCGGGATCCCTGCGCTCAGCACTCACAGCTTCACACGCTGCCGTGCGGACCATGCCGACGCTCGGAGGAAATATATATATATATATATTAAAGTTTGGGAGATTTTGGGATCTCGTCATGCAAAACTAGCACATACTTTCGTGCTGCACACCGAGTCGCGCGAAATACATTATATGAAGTTCGGAAGCATATATGTGTAGATATAACATATATATATATATAGTTTTAACAGTTATATGTATGTATAGACATATATATATAGAGAGAGAGAGAGACAGAGTTATTGGTTCGATGGATTGTCACAACGCGATGATGCAATTCAAGTAGCGTTAATCTTTGAGTACGAGGAAGTCTTTTTTCGACGCGGACAACGTGACCAAGCGAGACATGGTTGGTTTATCAGAGTCGGCGCGTCGAGCGGTTCAAGCTACCGAAGTGGAGCAAGCTTCCAAGTTGGTGATGTCAGACATCTACTGTGCGCCCTCCACGGTCCATGGCTGGGGTGTTTTTGCAGGGCGTGACTTCCGCAGAGGCGAGATTCTGCACGAGTCACCGGGGCGCCTGATTGAGGGGCTACCCGAGTGCATTACGGACGATGTCTTCGCAACCACGCAAGTCCTTTGGGAGAGCGAGGCAGGATATTAGCACTTCATGATGAGCTCATGCCGGGCCAACACACCTGAAACACTTGCAATACACTTTTCGGATGCCGAGCAGCGAACCGAATAGAAAACACATTCAATGTCGACAGATGTCGAAACCATCCTGCAAGAAGTATCCAGATTCTGCAAGGGCTTGTCTTCCTGCGAGAACAACACCCTCCACACACTGTTCCCTAATGAGGGGAGTCGGGTACGGGTGTTGACCCCGGGTGCCAACGGATTGAGAAGAACCATATTGAGGATCCCTATGTCGTTTTGTGTTTAAAGTGTGTTGGCGAGAATCAATCGATGTTGCAACTCCATTGTGTGTTCGGCATCTCAAGTCTTAAGTCTTGCGACCTGCGCCGATCAGAGACCAGGCAAAGAACTACTCGGTCTTGGGCTTGGGCTTCGCGTCGTTGCACAACCATGCAGAGGCAGGAGTCTGGGCTCTCAGCCGTGCCGCATCCGGTCATTCTTCGGGCCTGTGAAAATCTGTTTGTTTGCTGGTCCTGTCAGGATCCAAACACCGAGTTTTCATGGGAACAGCGCCGAGAGCACGGTCGCAGACTCATCGGCCGCTTCTACACCCTCAGGCCATTCCCATCAGAACCAGTATCCGTGATTGTGAAGTTTGTGAAACTGCGACTGGTGATGTTAGTGAGAGGCCCGTCAACAAGGACGAGGAGCTTTTCATCTCCTACGGGCCAAAGTGGTTCGAGTCGAGGAGTCTTGTGCTTGAGCTGACTTTGTGCATGGGCAACTTACTTCGAGGCTTCAAATCAACCCGCACCGTGGCTTCAATGTCAGAACAGTGTTGCAAGTAGCACAGAAGACGACGTAGTCCCTGGATTCTCCGTTGAGCGGCCTTGTCCCGGCAGGAACATCTCGGCGATCCCCGTCCCAAAAGCTACGTGAACAGCCGGCAGTTGCTGACTCCCACCACTACTTTCGGCCTCACATCTACAGCAAAGCATGCCAATACTCACATCAGACGGCTTTGTCGGAGCAAACGGCTCTGTTGGAAAAGACACTGCTTTATTAACTTAGGTTCAAAAGCTGCTGAGGATGTGTGGTCGGGCGTATGTGTGGCTGCCATAGCTCCGGAAAAAGGTAAGCTTGCTGCTGGTTGTGCCTCAACCCGATCGTTCCCGTATGGAGATCGTAAATTAATTGGGATCGGCACCATCAAGCCAGACTCGCTGGTCAGTAAACGACCAGGTGCTGCAAGACAGTCCAGCCGTCGTCCATGTCTGGTACGTGGTACATGCAAAGATAACTTCTCATGATGCTTTGATCGGAGATTCTCTTTCATGCGAATGTGACCTCTTTGGGATTTCAGCGGTTGGGATTTGGAATCATTACTGTACTCGTAGTGTCTTTGTCACTTTGGCCCTGCGTCGACTCTCGGCCTGGCCTAGGAAGCTGCTCTCAGATTCCGGCAAGGGGACGTGAGCCCGACGCGACTTTCTTGGATCCGGGGTCTGTGGCAGACGGCGAGTTTGGAAGATGGAGAGCTTGGGATGTCTAGAAGATTACATGGTTTGGATGGGCTGCGGCAGCAGTAACATCACGAGTGGTATGGCAATGGAAGTAGCGGTGGGCCTGATGAGCATGCATGGAGGTGTGTCAACTGCAGACGCTATCGTAACTGTCGTCGTTCTCCTCGCAGTAGCAACGGGAGTAGGAGTAGGACTCCTATTACCGCGTAGCGGCGTAGTCGTAGTAGTAGTAGTAGTAGTAGTAGTAGCAGTAGCAGTAGCAGTAGCAGTAGCAGTAGCAGTAGCAGTAGCAGTAGCAGTAGCAGCAGCAGTAGCAGTAGCCGTAGTAGAAGTAGTAGAACCACAACGACTGTTTCTGCTGATGCTGCTGCCGCCCCTTTTTCTGCATCATCGTGGCGACGGCAATGGCGACTCTGCTAGCCCTACTCCTGCTAGTCAGTATTACGACGAGTACCGCCACTACCACCACTGCCAACAGCATCGCCGTGCTGCTGCGACGACGACGTGCTAGAAGCACTACTTGTTAAGCCGGGGTCCTGAACGCTGGCGTTGGTGTTCCGAGAGCGCCAATCACTCGACAGGTGTCAAACCTGCGGGGCGAAGGTTCTCAGCACCGACTGACCCGGTCTCTGCTGGCGTGGTCGCGAAGGCATTTGATGCACAGTGTGTACTATGGCTTGTCCGTCCAAACATGATGCAAGATGACGGCTATCCGCGAAGTTGAGGCTGCAGATTCCGCGCGTTTCAACTATCCAGGAGCCCTCAAGCCTGGATCCGGCCAGGGAGCTGCCTCACGACATGGTCCCGCGTCGGCCTCATTTGCAGCTCAGCAATTCGAGACGCACTGGGGGCTACACAGCTGAAACGCCCTGCCATGCCCAAATAAGTTAATCATGTGAACCCTCAACACTCACTGCATCCTCAGCCTCTTCGGCTGAGGTGTGACATCCTAGACCAAAAGACGCCAAGACATGCCGACGCTGCACCTCGTCCATAAATGTTCAGCTCTGACAGACGAGCAACTGTCTGTCAGAGCATGCATTGTTTTTGGAGTGTTTGCTGCATGCATGTACAGGCCAGTGTAGGCATGTGTAGGCGTGGCTTGTGTCTTCGTGTGTATAGAGTTTTAGAGGGGAGATTAGGGGCGCGAATTGCGATATATCATGAAATGTGGCGAGATCAACAAATGGAAGGTTAGGTTAGGGTGGGTCGGTAAGAACAGCGACTGATTGAATAATTGACATGATGCAATATGATCATGAGTTTCAATGCAGGTCGAGGTTCATGCATGTCTCAATGTATGCACATGAGTGCATGTGCCTACAGGTGTGTGTGTGTGTGAATGAATGAATGAATGAATGAATGAATGAATGAATGAATGAATGAATGAAGGAATGCATACCTGTTTGTACGCCTCTCTGTACGACAGGAAATGAGGCACGCGTACGGCTGACTTCTATTCTGCACGCATGTAAACCGTAACATAGTGACATAGTCCGGACGTTTTTAAACCGGGATATGTCTTGTGCAGTGACAGGTCTCGCAGCATGAACTGGATCCCTGACCGCTGACCTGCTGCAACCATTCAGGTGTCGCACGAGTCGCTGCTTGAACGCCTGCATGTTCCTCCAGCGTGGACACATAGAGCGGAGTGGACCAGCAACTAGCAAGATATCGAGCACGCCGACGACAGACAAGGTTTCGCGTGGAACAGAGATCCATGCGGAGCGAGAACGTATCGCCGAGCACTCACAGAGAGCGGAAAAGGGCTGCCGGAAGGATCCATGGCAGGTTTTGTCCCAACGGAGAGCACAGGCCTACACAATGTCCAGAGACCCCACTTTCGCCTCAAGCATGTGTATATTTTGCACGTTTCGGCTCATGCGGTCACATGCATACCGCAGGCAAAAGAGATTGGAAAGCAACCACCACCAGCACCAACCAAGCCCATAGTTCAAGCAGGACAGCGCGAGTCTGCTTGGTAAGTCGCCATCCCGCCTCTTGCAGCCGCGTGGCCGCTGGAAGCTCAAAACCATGAGAGAGAAACGTGTGAGGGTTCGAGATGGCGATAGAAGACATGTTGACAATCCGGAGCTGGCTAAGGCCATGGCTTTGCAGATGCAGCAAATGCAGATGCAGCAGCAACAGCTGCAGCAGCATCAACTGCAACAGCAGCAGATGCAGGTGCAGCAGCTGCAACATCAGCAGCTGCAGCAGCAGCAACTGCAGCAGCAGCAAATGCAACAGCTGCAGCAGCAGCGACAGATGCAGCAAATGCAGCAGCATCCACAGATGCAGCAGCAGCCCCACATGCAGCAAAATCAGGCCAATCCACGCAGCGGAATGATGCTCTAGGGAGAACTCGTTGTAAGTGTTAGCTTTGTCGTATTGTCGCTTCAGCGAGCTCGCCTGGCGAAGTTGCGTGGTTTTCGCTCATCATGGCCGACCTTCCCATGCTTGGGTTGAGAACGTTTGCACACGGGTGATCCTAGTCTCAGGGTTCGGTTGGGAGGCCAACTTTGGCGGTGCCAAGGGAGGAGCCGGCTGCAAAGGAGGCAGGGCCCGGGTCGTTGGGTCGGCTTGGAAGTGGGGTCCTGACTCAGGACTAAAGATGGGTACTTCCCCGAAAGAAGTAGTCGGCTTCCGAAGCAACATTCGACGTACAGTATCGCCTGGCGACCCCAAGCAATCCCTGCCTCTTGAGATCAAAAAGGCCTCCCTCCTCCCGATTATGATTGCAATTAGCGGTCCATCCATCCTCATAATGTGGCATTGCGCAGTTCTTGTTTCCAATCTCTTCAGTTTGCAGTACACTCCTGTCGTGCCTGCAGCCTAGAATCCCCCATTTAGTTTTTGCAACCTTTGCGTTCCTGCTATTACAGTCTGCAGTCCTGGCGCCCCTTTACACTTTCCCGGAGGATTTCGGATGCCCTGCTAATCCCCAAAATTCGGGCATTGTCCCAGATTTGTGCAAAAGGATTCTTGCTAGCTTTGATGCAGCCAATCTAAATTCACAGTCAACCACATTTGTTGAACAATTTAGAATCTGCTAGTTGCTAGTTGATTGAAACCTTGCGGCCAGCCTCCTGCAAGGTATGCCTGGCAAGGGAGGGCAAGGGCCGGCAAAGACCTCAGTTGTGACAGCACACGGTGGTCGTGCTCTGTGCTTCAGACTCAGGCACGGCCCCCGGCACCCCCGCCACCGCCGGGAGCCCCTGGGGCGCAGCCACGCCCGACTGGGCCGGGGCTGACAGTGACGGGGTGCAACAACGCACCTCGGCCCACTTATTTTTGGAGTTTCCAGCTCCTGCCTCAAGAATTTCTCAGAGGCCCCTCTGCACATAACATCGCAGGACACCGTTCGAAATCTCATCAACGGCTCCTACTCCGTAACAGGGGAGAACCATGGCAAGCCCATGTGGAAGAAGGACCTCCGACTGCAGCCAGAATGCCTTGCCTCTTCCTTCTTGCGCCGAGAAGCGGTAGTCGCCATAGACAAAGTGACCTCACAGGACCACTCTGGGCCTGGTGCCCGGGCCTCGAAGCCCCGACATCTCCAATAAACCGCAGCTTCCACAAGGTGTTTTGGGATTTGGTATGCTGCATCTGCTTGCACGGATGCTGCCGGGAATCATTGATATGTTCGATGCTGCAGCCTCAGGTCTCAGGACAGCCTTTCTCTGACTGTATGAGAGATCGCCTCCTTTGCTCGGCTTGTTATGGGAGTCGCACTTGTCTTGGCTGCTATTTTGCAGTATCGGCTGGGTGAGGCTTCAAGTCCCCGCGAATGCCACAACATTATCAACAACTGTTATGGATACGACCGATCCGACGTCTGGTTCGCCCTAGCATACAAGGAGTGCCTCACGGTTTGCCCTCATGTTGGTCATGGTGGAGAATGTCGCGACGAATGTCAGTGGACGACCGAAGGTTGGTGGAGGGTGAACCGGATGGACCAGGTCAAGGTTTGCCTGGAAAGGCAGGAAACCTTGTATGCCTTTTTTCATTGGAACCGTGACAGAACTCCTGACAGTACCGCCATCACGTTCCTCAGTGGAAGGTATCGGTTCTGCCTACAGAAAGGTGAAACAAAGGTTCACGAATTGAAGCGAGACGGCAGGACCCTTTATTTCGATAAGCTCGAGGAGCATGAGGCTGACGAATGCTGGAGGTTGAGTAGAGAAGCCAAGATGAGGACCTTCACAATGGTGGACGATGGCTCATACGGCAGTGCCACAATAAGTGGCTCCTGTGCAGGAAATGCCAGATCTATCAACCAGAGCGAGGTAGTGAGATTCACTGCACCAGAGCTTTTGACGGAAACTAACTCCACCGTCCCGGGCGAGGCCACGCGTGTGCTGGATGAGGGCAAGGAAAGCGTCGTGGTTTTGAGAGAGGATCCCGCGACACATGCCTACACAGTAGTACAGAGAAGCTATCCTGAGACTGTTCTGCTACCTTGAGCCTCGAGCGACCTTGTGTGCACTTCAACAACCCCAGCTGTCACAAAGAGGACGGCATGCTTGCACACAGAGCGCCGAACAGCGGCGCTTCAACGTGTGGCACAGAAAAAGCGGTGCAAGTGCTTTCTGTGGACTGGAAGAAGGGAAGGTTGGGGGGTGGTGGGCGTCTCGCAGATTAAAGGTCACCGTTCTGATCTACTACTGGGACGAGCGGGACGGGCCGAACTTCAACGGCTGGTGGATCGGCCCCAAGGCTGCGGAGCGACTGCAAAGCAATCGTCGTGTTGCTTAGTTGATGGGCTGCATCCCTGCGAGGTTGGTGGTGATCAGGTGTGGTCGCAGAATGAAAACAGGCCAGAACTAGTGATCCAGAATCTTGCAGTTTTTGGCAGCGACCTGCTGGCAAGACAGCTTTGTGCACTAGGCATGCAATCAGTGAGACACGGTTTCTGATCTTGGTGGGTTGTTCATGACCTCTCCTTTCGGGCAGATCGGCGCCGTCGCCTCCGACGCTAGGGTGGAAGGTGCCTTGGGATGGCCCTGTGGATGCCACACTGAAGCACCACGGCTGCAAGAACAGTCAAAGTCGAAGTGCCTGGTTGTCGGTGTGTGTGCTCCAGGACATGTCGCAAAAAGTAAAGCTTAACAGAAAGTTCACGACAACGGGTTCTTGCGGCCACCCTCACGTCGGCACGGCGCACGTGTACTTCCTGCAGAAGAACAAGGGAGACGGGCAGAGAAGCAGAATGACAGACAGATTTGCAGGTTGCATGTCAAGCGTACTCAACACGTGGGGTCGCACATCGTCGCACTTGCGCAGAGGCATCTCCCCTCTGCGACCCAACGAATGGAAGAGAGAACAAGATCCGCATTTCCATGGGATCCTGCTTGCTTGAAGCTCCGGAAGGGGCTCGATGAGGGTTTAGAATCAGAAGCGGTAAAGGCCGTGGCGGAGGGGATGAGGAAGCTAGGTGCACCCGTTTTGGGGTGCAGTTACATTGACACGTGCCTGTACCTGTACATGAGCCTGCTCATCCTGCTCTTCAAGTCAGTCGCCCCCAGGTCATGCACGGCCTTGCTTTGCGTGTTGTTCTGTTTTTGCTGGTCTTGTTTGTTCTATCATGTTTTATCACTCTGGTGATCTCTCTATGTCTCTATGTATGTTGACATATACTCGTATCATCTTATTTGCATACGCAGTCGTGATCGTATAGTAGCTAGTAGTACTGCAGAGAACTTGACAGTCGCTCAGGGTTGCCCACGCCGGCGCTGCGGCGCCAGTGGGGGGCAAAGGCTTCCCAGCCCCCGGCAAGGGGGCCCCGGCTTTACCAGCCCCTGGCCCTGTGAACGCCCCTCCCAAAGCCATTTCGGCGCCGCCGCCTGTGAGTGCTCCGGGCGCCATGGGCGCTATGGCGGGTTTCAAAGGCGGCAAGGGGCCTGGCAAAGGCACCAAGGGCAAGGCCGGTTCTTTCTGTCATCTTCTCGAGGTCACAGTCTCTCTCTCTCTCTCTCCCTCGCTCGCTGTGCTGTCAGATCCTGTCAGGGTTTACCGGCTGGCAAAGGCCCTGCCATGGACCCGGAGGCATGCCCTAGACGGGCAGTTTGCAATTTACAGCAGTCGGACTCACTTTCGGACTTTGGCCTTGAAGGAAATGAAAAGGAGACAGATAGAGCGAGAGCAAGAGCAGAAAAAACGGCAGGACAGCGTGCACCATGTGTTGATAGATTGGCTGGCTGATGTCGCCTTGAAGACGTGCTGAGATTGTAGTCCTTCATGCTTACACTGCACAGGAGGAGATGAAGCGAAAAAGAGAAGATGATGAGGTGAGAAGAAAGGACGAAGCTCAGCAGTTCGATGGAACCCAGCAAGCTTTCGATCCTGGCTTTTGAGCAAGACCCAGTTCAGTTAGCTCGCCAGGAGCATAACGCTGTGCTGGCCGTCCGCAAAGCGATCCAAAAGGCCTGTCAATCTGTCTCGTCGAGTCTTGCCGGCATGATGCATTGATGGAATGCCTGCCACTGTCAGGTGCGCACAGCCGTTCCCGCAGCTTGTCCAGAATATTTCAAACGTCTTGTCTGCCTGCAGAGCTTCCCTCTGTACTCTGGGAAAGCGGTTACCGAGCCCAATCAGGCCTTGGGTTCTTCGTGACTAGACAGCCTTGTGGATGAAAGGGCCTAGATCTCAGCATCTCAGGACACCTACGATGCGCTGCGCCTGCAGCTCGAAGAAGCCCTGGCGGCCCAATTGGAAGCTTGGGAAGCGAGAGTCCCACTGTTGCCTGCTGCTGGCCCACCCTGAAGCTTCATGCACCGTTTTATGATGCAAATCCGTGCACTCCCAGCCTGAGACACCGCAGGATCAACCACTGCCCACAAGAAGTAGTGACTGAAATCGATTGAAGATGACAGTTGTAGGACAAGGCAGGCACACGTACTGTAATGTGCCAGTGGATATAGGAGGTCACAAAGATTGTGCTGGAGTTCTATCGGCCAAGCTTCCTGAACCCCAAACTCCGCAAAAAAAGGTAGGGAGCACAGCCGTGACGACCAAGGAGTCCCTGGGGAGCCAAGCCCCAAAGGCGCGGGTCTTCCATCTGAGGGGGCCGGGGATGCGCAACAGGCTTCCGATGCTTGAGAGTTGTCGTCGTTAGGCCTTTGGGATTATCGCTTGAAGAGAATATTTATATGAATAAATGAATATCTTCTGTGCAGCTCCCAACAATGCATATCTCTCGACTACGCACTACTCCCGATTGATACGCGGGATGTGATTACAGCACAGGAGCTCCTTGCTTTACTTGCTACGAATGTCTTGCCTCGTCGCTGCAAGCGATGCAGTGATGTATCTGAGCTTCGACCCGACATACCCGACTCCGACCTCGGGGCATGAAGGTCGGGCAAGAGGCTGAGCTAGCGCTGCATCAGATGCAACAGCGCCCCTCAGGCTGCATTTTTCGTACAGGCGTGGAACCTGCAGGCTTCGGCGAGGTACAGACAAGCTGAGGGCACCTTTAGGGCATCTGTGCTCGGAATTGGCACTGAGATCAGGAGCGCAGCTCCCGGAGATTCCTTTTGCCCACCATGCATCATGCGAGCACCGGCCCACGACTAGCTGCATCTTCCAAGATGCATCCATCAAATCCTTTCCAAGCTGCATGGTCATGTAAGGCATACGGAACACCCCAAATCTTGGTCCCAAACAGGTCACTCTTGAACAGTGCGACCGTAGAGAATCGATGGCCAAAAGACTGAGAGAGACAGAGAACACTGCTGCTGTGCCCGCCCACGAAGCCGCTAAGAGCTAATGATAGCTCCTGCCTCAAACTCCTTGGGAGAGCCCAGGCCTTGATGAGATGCACGATAGGAGACTGCAGGAGGACAACTACCGGGAGCTTGAGGACCCCGGCACGGTAAAAAAGCAAGCTCGGAAGGCGCGACGATGTATGATACTGTAGGCAGCAAGATGGATGAAGAGGCATCAGGTCCAGGTATTGCCCAGTAGCTTCTAATGACCTATAGTTCTTGCAGAGACAGACACAGGCACGCACACACACAATTTCAGTCCTGACCCGTATGCTCGGGCTCGTACCTTCGATTCATACGTGGACACAAGCCGCCATGTTCCAAACTTTTCTTCTTACTTGCTTTGTGCGACATTGGTTTCCGCTTCTGACCAGAGGATTAATTTCTGCTCGTACCCAGCCGTAGCGACGAAGTCTACTCGATGGCGAACATAAAGTGCATGCTTGTATGGTTTTTTGGTTTGGTTATCACATCTACACTTAGATGGGATCCCTAGCAAATCTTTGACGACAGATCAACGCCTGATCGGTTTCAATGGTCTTATCGGTATGTCGCGAGTCTGATGACTTTTGGCCTTGGGGCTATGTGTTTTCGGGCACCGCGTTGGGGGTTGACCTTTGCCAGGTAGAGCCTTATGTCAGTCCAGACCGGCAATGCTAGCAGCTGTCATGGCATCGTCGCATAGACTTCCCATTTCTTCCTGCGAGGACCAGCGCCGCAAAGATGAAGTGCAGCAGGCATCCTCCGATGAATCGGTTTGTGCTGGGGGGACTCGAAAATTCTCTCCAATAAAGCGGCCGGCGTTTTGTCAGCTTGAATCTTCCGGATAGAGCAGCAACACCAACTCCCGCGATGTGTGTAGACATAGTGTTGCTTATGTTTGTTGAAAGGCCATCTTTCTGAACAGCAGAGCTCTGCAAGACTGTAGCAACTGATGGCAGTAGCTATCCCAAGCAGAGGGGCCTAGACGATCCCTGGGCCGAGTTCAAGCTGTCAGCCTCCGAACCCATCTCCCAGGATAACTTGCATAAGTTCAATTTAAGGAGGGATTCTTTCGATGCCGCAACCCCGAAGTCCCCAAGCTCTCCAGCTCCCAGCCCGAATGCAGAATCACAAGCACGACCATGATCATTCCATGATATATATATATATATATATATAGATAGATATTACATATTACATTAATATATATATATACACATAGTACAGATGATATCTGGACCTACCTATTCCTGCTTGGTAAGTCAGGCCATGCTCCTGGAGGCGGAAGCCAAGGAAGCAGCAGAGGAGCAGCAGGGAAAGCTCCAGGAGGCTCCCGAGCGTTTCCTTGGGGTTTAGGGTCTGAGGCCTAGATTCTGGGTTTAGGGCTTGGATGATTTCGGGTTTTGGAGTTTGTCGCTTCAGGGTTTCAGGTTGACCGGGGGTAGGGCTTCGGCTTGGATAACGTAGGGCGAAGCATGCCCTTTGCATCTGAGCAAAAACGACAGTGGTCACCAAAACGGGTGGCAGATGCGGCAACAAGAATAAAGCCAGAAGGCACAAGTGCTGTACCTGTAAAGCCGTCGCGAACTCGAGGTGTGTTTGTGTAGTGTCGAAGGCAGAATGTGGAAGCTGGAGCGCTGGCCCCGCAAGTGTCTCAACAGGTTTCCAACCAACCTTGCCAGCTTTTTACCAGATCTCTGACTTTGCGTAACCTCCACACTAACTCGAAGGCCTGAGTCCGAAATCAAGCGAATGGCGTTTCAGGCGGAGGAGGTGGCAAAGCAGTTAGAGAACGGGAACCAGGATCCAGCGAAGATGCTGGTTGCCATCGAGGCAGTTCAGATGCTTCAACTCATTGCGTCAAGGATCGCTGCTAGCCTGGCCAGAGCGGCCAGAGCAACAACGGTGATGAGATGTTGCAAGAGTTTACCCGTAGTGGTAATGCCTGCCCGACAGCATGCACACTCGATGATCCCACACGGACGCACACCGTGGTCTTTTGAGAGCTTTGTTTTCTAGGCATTGCTTTCCTCAAGTGTTCCAAGGCTGCGGTGAAGTCCATTGCAGCTGCTCGAGATGAGGTGCATGTCTGCGTTTCAGCTTATACAAAAAGTAAAAATGATACACATCTTAAGAGCCAGCCAACCAAGATCAGTAGCACTCTGTCCATCGTTTATTTCCTCATACTATCACCGGCGCGCTCATCACCATCATCTTCATCATCGTCTACACAGCAGCCATATCGGTGTCGGTAGCATGTGTTCACCGTTCACTATCGTTTTCAACATGACATGCACCAGCACCAAAGTGTCAACATGGAGGGATTACTGTGATCATGGATGTCCTGCAATGTCGCTCAGCATCCATCAGCATCCTTTCTTCTGAGTTGATGATTCTTCGACGTGACTTGTTCATCACTATGGTTCATTATGACGAACGTATATCAATGTTACCTTAACGAAGTAGAATGTTGTGACTTGAGCATACTTCAGCTGTGTAGGTTGTGTGTATGGGATCTCTCGGAACCGCAGTTTTTGTGGTGCATGTGTGCAAACGATACTCGCACCTGTGGTTCCTGACTCCACAACCACTTAGACGACGTGAGAAGTGCCTGAAAAGGAAGGGTTCACCTCTCAGAATCAAGGGCCCCGATGCAATCTCCTATTTATCCCGCCTTCAGCCTTCGAGTTTGTCGCCCTAAGGCCCCAGCGAACGTTATGTCCGTTACCTGTACGCTGCGACAGGCGCAAAATGTGCGTCAAGCCATCCTCGACAAGCAGCGAGGCTTGAGTGAAAACGAAGCAACGCGAAAAGTCAAACGAATCTCGGCTTGTCAGACGCGGCTTCGAAGGTTTTGTTGGATGCATGGCGACTGACTAACTAGCAAGTCTGGATTCATGGCTAGTGCATCTGCACCGCTTGTGTAGACCAGAGCCTCGACGGAGCAAACATGGCAAGTGTCCATCGGGATAAGGTGTCAGTTCTTGTCGCATCTTGGTATATCTTGCAAGGAAAAGATGTGAATCTATATTAGGTAAGTTATATATTGCATCCATCTAGACGGTCATGTATTCGCACGTGTCGAACAACGCGCGAGAATACATGTCTACATGACTATGAATGCACAAATGCATAACTGTGTATGTATGCACGTACGTGGTAGGCAATGTAATACTGCATGTATGTTTGTGTGTGTGTATGCCTGCATGCGCAAACCGCCATGCTCAAGGAGAGGTCATTGACACGGCGGCCCGGCTTGGGCGGAGTGTGGGCGCATTCGAGAGACTGCTCGCCTCTGTCAGCAACCGCCGGCACAAGGCCACACCCGAGGTTTGGAAGCGAGAAGGGTCGAGTTTGGTGCATCGGCCTGAATTGAGGATGCATGCGCCAAATCCTCGCAGTTTAGCTGCGGTGCATTCTTATTATTGATGCTGCAGTTTTTGCATGTTTGACTCCTCCGGTCTGGACTTGTGAAGCTGTGGCAGTTGGCAGAGTCAAGTCTGTGACGACAAGAGAAGCCTGAGATAACTGCTCCGCAGGCTCTGTCTGCAGACATTTGCAGTCACATGCAGCCTCAATCCTGACATTTGTGGGCAGGAAGAAGGAAAAGCGCTGGCATTAAGGAAGCTAAACGAAAAGCCGCTTAGCTGAGGATTCGCTATGACTTAACTTAATACACTTGCATCAGATGTGCGTAACGTCCGAGGAGACGACGGATGTGCTTGTGGGGCTCCCTCTCTTCCTATGTCATGGCATGAAGAAGTTGGATGTGTCGGGTTGTTGTCCCTTCCGAGAGCTTCTTCCTGCGATCATTTTGCTGCAGCTCATAGCCCGAAGCACGAAGAAAGGAAATCCGAATTCGTCAAGTTCGACCTTGACGGCGACCAGCAACTCAACCGATCTGCGCCTCACCTTCTCAATGGAACAGTGTATTTTATATCTCGGACTGTGTTCTTGATGTTCTCGCCCTTCAAAAACAAAGCGGTTTTGCGTGTACATGCCGATTCAGAGGAGGAGCTACAGAAGGATTACGGAGGGTAGACCGCATGCCTGAAGCTTGAAAGCATGAAGGCTGCACGATGGAAGTGCAGAATCGTAAAATCAGGCTATGTACGGTTGTTGATGCAAAGAGCGATGAAAGTTCAAAGGGGTGGCAGGGCGATTGAGGATATGCTTCATGCCTGCCTGATTGAATTCCTGTGCTCCTGCGAAGGAAGTCGAGGCGTATGCCAAGGCGACGTTGGCCTACGAGCTGCCGGCTGATGTTTTGGACGCCATAGCCAAGGGGCTGCAATTGAGCAAAGCTCCATAGACTATTTGTTTGCAGTGCCGCACGTGACATTACCCACGCGCATGCAGTGTTGTGTGTGTGTGCGCATTATGGGCTGCAAGCACTCAGAAGTGTTTGACACCGGCGCTGCTTGACGTCAAGCGCAAAACTCCACGGGCACATGTCAAGTGCTCTAGTGTGCCCTGCCATTATGCCACGAAGCCTTTGCCGGTGCTAGCTGGCCATCAAAACTCGGTGACTTCCAGTATGTTTAGGGAAGTCGTGATCCGAACATGAAGCTCCTTTCCATCACAGCTGAGGTGAAGAAGCTGGACCCCGTCACCTTGACGAAGTTCCGGCCGCTGCATCAGAAGTTGTATATCGCCAAATCGGAGATCCTTGCGCGAAAGGCCGAAGCGAAGACGCAAGCAAATCTGGCTAAGATTTAATAGTCTACAAATCAATCGTCGACCAGCCTGTCCGTGTTTTCATATTGCTGTTAGAAAGAAGCTGTGTATTGTTGCAGGGTTTCATGTTACGAAAGCCCTACTTTTGCTAGCCAGCATAATATAGTTTACCGGGTAGGAGGGGAGAAATCAGTCTCTCAGGGTCTCAGTCAGGGCATGGTTAAGTCGCTTGCGATTTGTTGTTGGCTTCAACGTCCGCAATGCATTCTGCCTGAGGCACAATGAGACTTCAAAGCTGAATTGATAAGTCTAGGAGTCCACCATGTATGCGTGCCGCGCCATGTATGGCTGGATTTATCGGATTCTCTCCTGCTGGGGTTGTTTCATTCGTCACGTTTCCCCGATGCCATCCCCCACGCCAGGCTTTGAACGTTTATGGTCTCTCGGCACCCCTTGCCACGGAAGATCATCAGCTCAATCCGTAATTGTAGAACCCAATCCCCAAATCCCGGAACCTGGACTTCCCCCTGATTCTGCACCGGATGTTGATCGTTTACAGGGTTATGGTCGTTTCTCATGAGTGTTCAGGCCGCTAGTGAAACCTTAAGCCTCACAAAAACCTGTCAACCCATAGACCGCAGCAGACTCTGGGAGGCGCGCTCCGAGGAGGAAAAGCGGCAAGCAGCGCTCGCAGAGATGCGCGCGGCGGCCACCAGCGCTCCTCGCCGGGAAGTTTTGGCTTCGTCCGATTGAGTCGGTTGGAGATTCGTGCAAATGTACATCGGTCGGAAGTGTTCCAGACCTGGCTTTCCGGCAGAAACCCTGGCGGTTCGAGTGGCCCGGTTTGTTTGATATAGGTTACTATGGCCCTATGGATTGAATACAGTTTGGCTCTGTGCGTCGGACGCACAGGAGGACAAAAAAGATTGACGAACATGGGTTTGTCGTCGAGTGTCTGCAGGTTTTGGATGCCGCCGGCACAGCATCTCTTAGCTGATTCACTGTGGCTCTTGTCGACTGCCTTGGGAGTCAGGTGGTTTGCAAGCGTTTCCTTTCTTGGAGTGGCGAGGGGCGGTATCGCACAGTTTGTTGCGAAAGCGCCTGACGAAGAAAGCAACTGGTGTCGGCAATGAAACAGTTTTTCCTCGTCATGTAGAGATTTCCACCTTCACGCTCCAGAGCGCAGAATCATGCTGAGTGCCAGGTCGGGCACGAAAACACATCATGCTTTTCGAGTGCATAACAAAACCCAGTTTGCCAGATTTTGCCACTGTGCTCGTGTCCCGTCGCCGACATGTCGCGGGTTTCCGACAGGTTCTGTACGAATTATTTCAGGGTTTCGGAGGGGCTGCTTGGACTAAAATTCCAAGGCGAGGCTTGGGTATTTTAGGTAGAAGCCCGGGGTTTTTTGGTCCGTGAATCCCTCAGGCTCACCGGCTCTGGGGACCCTTCTTTAAGATTTGGATTCCGTAACAGCAGGTCACCCGTAGCAGCGGCGATGAGGTCGTTTCAAGCTAGGACTTCGGGCTTCGGGACTGGTGGTGAGGTCCTCGAGAAGGCGGAGGATGTGCAAAAGATTGCGGAATCTGCTGCCATCGACGCCGAGGAGAAGATGCGGTTCCTTTTTGCGGAAAGGCCTGCTTGCAAGAGACTGTCCTTCGAGGGAAGACGAGGGGTTGCCGCAAGGGTCTCGACACGACAATGTGCAAAGAGATCTGTTTCGTCACAGACAACTTCTGGGTTTCAATCAAACCCCAGCCTTGCAAGCCGCTGCTCCCCGCATCAGGGCTAATTACGGCAAGTGATGGCAGCAAGAGTTGGAATAGATTCAGGGAGGGAGAGGGTTCACAACCCCCCCCCCACCCGACAAAAGCCAAAGCTAAAGCCTGCGGTTCTCTACCAGAAAGTGGAATGATCCCTCTGCCGTTTGCCTCTCACCACAATACATTACAGTAGATCTAAGTATAACAATGTATCCCGGATGTATCCCCCTCTTCTGATCATTAAGGCGCCCACCTTGATCAGGCCTGAAGCATCCGAGAAGATCGAGGGGGCTCTGGCGGAGGTCGATGCCTTGGTTCAGATTCTTGGTCTCCATCAGCACGGCCTCTACGGTTAGCTTTTTTGGGGTGCCTTGGGTTTGGGGCTGTATAGTTGACAGGTTTAAGTTTAGAGGTGGGTTCCATTATCCGGGACCACTAGCAACTGTTGCTGACCAGAGTCCAGCGGAAGCCAAGGAAGATCGACGAGGTGCTGTGCCCAAGCACTGTGCAAGTGAGACACGCTAGCGTGCAGAAAAAAAGTTATCTAGCTACATGTGCACATATGTGCCGGTGCTTACAGGCTTACATGCCTGTACGTATTGGTGTGCATGCATATTACAGACACATATTTCACGCACAAGGTTACAAGGGCTTCCGGGCTCGTGAAGTCTCAGCCGCCGGAGGCGTTGGCAGATAGCCAGAGCCACCTCGATGACGCTCAGCGCCAGTCTGACGCTAGCGAGGATCTCAAGGCTGGGTCTGGGATGTGGCGCGAGGTATCGCGAGGTACAGGTTGAAACCCGGCTCTTCTGAGTTTGGCTCTCACAAAGAAATCGCAAGGATCCGCAAGCAGCATCAAGCAACTTGAACGTAAGCAGCGCGGCGAGGGATGCAGAAGCGGTGTCAAGAAAATCACAAGATTGTATGATGAATGCGTAGAAGGACTAGTGTTGTACAACTTCGAAAATCGCAGGGAGAGGTTCGCCAAGCAACCTTGGTAACCTTGCGCTCAGAGGCCATGGGCTTCGAGAAGACGGTGCAGCGCCTCAGGGCCCGAGAGGCCCGGGTCCTGGCCCGAAGAGACCGCTTGCAGGGCAACGCGCAATCCTTCCGGGACAAGGTGCGAGGGCAGGGGAGGTTGGGCAGTTATGAAAGTGTGAGGAAGCCGACATGGGGATCATCAGTGCAGGTTGATGTTGTGACTTCTTCTTGAAATGCGCTAGAACTCAAAGATTTGCATGGCTGCTGTTCCCCTGCAGAAGGCCGTTGAGGAAATGGGGCGAGGCGAAGCGGACGAAGAGCAAGGCAAAGAATCACAACCTTCGTAGCTAGATCACAACTACATAGAGGCATTTCTGGAGCCTTGTTGAGCCGATATGAGCCTGAGCAGTCCTTTTCCACCTGCAAATAAAAGCTCCTGTTCGTCGCTCTCTACGTGGCCTAGCAGACCGGGCGTGCAAAGTGCTCCTCGGTATGTCCAGCTGTCAAAGCAGGACATGTATCACTTCATTAAGATTATCATGGGCGTTCTGTCGCATCTGCGATGTTCACTCGCTAGCCTGGTTCGCAGCCAGAGCACAACGCCGAACAAAGTGCCACGCCTGCATCGTTTGCTGCCTGCAAAGGAAGTTAGTCTAAGCAGTTCAGAGGTGTTTGTGTTGGGGCGCTCGGGTTCCCGGTACAGCAACATTGACCCGGATCCGTCACAAGGATGCAAAACAAGTGTAAACTACCCGTTATCTAGGCTGCCGCTTGTCCATGAAACCCTGGCCTTGGGAACTCCATTTTGCAGCTGCTTCCTCTCAACTGCGCGCCGGGAATTCGTGGTCCCTTCTCTGACCTCCCACGGCAGATCTAGGAAAACTCTACGGGGAGCCATGTACATCAAGCAGGTTATCATCCGTGGCTTCAAGACCTATAAGGAGCAAACGACGCTGGACGAGGACTTCTCCTCTGGAACAAACGTAGTTGTCGGCTTCAACGGTTCTGGGAAGTCCAACTTTTTCCAGGCGATTCTCTTCGTACTCTCTGACCAGTTCAGTTCTCTGCGTGCAGAGACTCGGAAGGCCCTTCTTCACGAGGGTGCCGGGCAGGCGGTACTGACGGCTTACGTCGAGGTTGTGTTAGACAACTCCGATCGCCGTATTCCTTTGGAAACCGACTCGGTGTCCATCCGGCGCCTCATCGGCGTGAAGAAGGACGACTGGCTTCTGGATGGGAAGCATGCCACCAAGGCAGAGATCTTCGGACTCCTTGAGGGCGCAGGCTTCGCGAAAACGAGCCCGTACTACATCGTGCAGCAAGGGAAGGTCAGCGAGTTTTGAAACGTTGCGCCGTGCATGCCCTGTGTGTGTGTGTGTGTGTTCCCTTGTGCGGATGCCGCATGTCTGGCATACTCACGTAATGCTCAATCTCAGGTCAGAGAGCATGAGAGTGTGCTTGGTCAGCAGGTCAGCGAGCTTACGATGATGACGGATGCACAACGGCTGGGTCTTCTCAAGAGTATATCCGGGGCCGGCATTTGGGACGAGAGGCGCGCAGAATCCGTTAAGATTATGGAGGACACCTCCACCCGGAAGATGCGTAATGAGGGCTTGATCGCGGACATTGAACAGAAGCTGAAAACCCTGGAGGACACCGGAAGTTTGCTAACCTCGTTTTGGCCTTGCAGAGTGCTTCATGACACGATGCCCAGCTGTTGCTGTGTGCATGCAGTGTGCGACAATGTGTAGAATGATGCAAGGCCATGGTTCTAATGGCATGTGCTTCCAGGAAGAGCAGCGTGAGCTCCGTGAGTGCGAAAGGTGGGACGGGTGGCTCCGTGAAGTCTGGATTACATGTACTGTAGCAGCACCTTTTGAGCCTGTGCATGTCAAACGAAAGCAAGTCTAAGGCGAACCCTTGCCCGGTAAGTACTCGAAGTTACCCGCGCCCACTGTGGATTCCCTTTAAGAGGGTGCACGTATTCCAGGCCACAAATAATTACTGGTGCATCCTGGAAGGTTGGAGGCTCGCCGCAGGACCCTGGAGTATGCCTTGGCCGACCGGGAGTGGCGCTCAGCCCAGCAGCGCATCGATGTCCTGGAGGATTCTTGGGAACTCAGACCGTCTTTCTTGCCGGGAATTTGTGCTTCTACTATGATACGATCCAGGGTTCAAGTGACACAGTGAAGCTCAGCCCAGCTTCGAAGTTTTAGAACTTTAGGACTTTAGGACGGTGGCTGTCTTCTGACATGCCTGAAAGGACAAGCGCGCGGAGGCCTCTCAGGAGCTACGCCAGCTGCAGGGACGCTTGGCTTTGCACCAGTTTCGGTCCGTGGGCACTGCATTCAGCAATGCTAGTCAGCTCTTCGAGCCTTCATAACCATTCGTTGCCCTAGAGCACTTCCGGCCTAAAACAGTTCTTGAAGCACAAGAGACGAGGCCCTGGGTTGCTGTACTGCTGCAACTGAGCATACAATAATAATCTAATACGATAAACTATAATGTTAGTTAGCTGCCCAATTGCGTGCTTTGCCGAGGGAAGGTCGCCGATGTGCGGCAGCGAGCTGCGCAGGCGGAGGCGGAGGCCGAGAAACTCGAGGAGCAGAAGAGGCGCCCGCAAATCGCGGATTGGAGCTCGTTTTTAACAGGATTTGTTTTGTCTTTTCTGAGTCGCATCCACTAAGGCAGGTCTCGGAGGGCTTGGCAGCCCTGGAGTCCGAGCGTGATCGGAAGTTCGAAGCGCTTACCAAGGCCAGGGGGTGGGGACACAACATGCTCTTTGGCCCTTGTGCTGCACTCGTGGCACGTGATTGCCCAGGCCGGCTTGGCTGCAGAGGAGGACTGAAACGAGCAGGGAAGGGGATGCAGTCGCTCTGACTTTGACGGCATTTTGCGATAGTTTTCGACGCCATGTTCATGTCCAGGCCGGTGGCAGAGCGAAGCTCTCTTAAAGCAGGTGTTGGATGCCTGTGGCCTTCGTCCAGTAAGTCAGGTGACGAGAGACTTGTGGTGGGTGGACGCTGCTTGTTGTGGGTCACACCCCCGAGGAGAGCCGACAGCGCAAGGAGGGCGAGGCACGAAACGATCAGACGCCAGCCTGCCGCTTCAGTTGTTCGAGGTTCTTTCAAGGTTCGAACACGAGGTGTTCGAACCCTGGGTGATATAGCTCGAAAGTGCTGCAGATTCCATGGCCAGACGGTTGCACTGAGATTGTTAGACCCTCATACCGACTCTTAAGACCGCTTATAAGATGGCTCTTAAGTAAAGGATGAGACCTCGGAGCCCTCTCTGAGGAAGCTGGTGGACTTGGCAGCCGCGCGCCGGGAGGTCGCGGAGGCCGCCGAGGTCATTCAGAAGCCCAGCCATGAAACATCGCGTTCGTTCTCTTTTGTGTGTTTCGTTTATACTATGTTATATTTATGTCATACTGTCATACTCTATACTACTTGTACCGCAAGTAGACTACTACACTATAGATGATATCATCAGTTGGAGGTTTCTCTTAGCCCACTTGCACTCAGGAAGGAGCAGCCGCAGGTCCAAGCGGCCGAGGCCGCATTCCGGGCGCTTGAGCAACAGCGCCAGGCAGCCTGCGTCCTGCTGTTTCAGAGTGCTGCGACGAGACGTGCAAGCGCAAGCTTGGGTTTTCGGAAGTTTGCTCCGTAGTTTGAAGGCCGAGTTCGGGCAAACTAAACTAAACAGAGAGACTGAGACCGAAGCCCGGAAATTATTCACTTGCTCATTGCTTCTGAACGTTCGCTCGACGTGCCAGGTGGCAGCAGCTGAGCGCGAGCAGCTGCTGGCAAAGCAAGGACACCCCCTCCGAGTCCCTACAGAAACCCGTCAGCGCAGTCAGGAATTTGCCCGAGCCCATCCGAGCCCTGAACATTTGAGCGCCAGGCCGCCGACAGCAGTTCAGCAGTGTGGAGGAAAGGAATCGGGCGCTGGATCAAGAGCTCAGCGCCCTTGGGCCTCATTGAACTTCGGAGAGCTGTCAGGTTTCAGGGAGTCCAGAATGTTCCAATATACTGTAGCACATCTTGGGGCAGAGGCCTTCAACAGCATCCGGCATGCTCCAGACAACCCCTGCATGCAGCAAGCTTTACAATCACTCCGTCCCGAAGCATGCTTTCAAATTTGCCGCTGGTACGTAATGCAACGAGGCTTATAAAAGAAAGGTCACATGCCAAGGCTGCTGTGGGGGCTATACATTACACTATGTAGCCTCAAGGGGTTCGACGAGCCGGATTTCCCCAACAAAGGCCCGGGGGCAAAAGCTGGAGGAGGCCCGGCGGAAGATCGAAGCTAAGATGCATGGAGTGTCCCTTGTAGGAGGTACCTTAAGTTGGACCCTATACTATGGTCACCATAGGTCTGGACATGTCTAGGAGACTAGCCGGCGTGCATGGGCCGTGGACTGGTTCAGCTTTCGGAGATAGCGAGTTTGGAGCTTCCTTCTTGTAGTGAGGGCCTGGGGACGGTCGTGTCGCCGAGGAGGTCAGGTAGATTTGGGGAAGACCTGGATCAAAGGAGCCTGTAGCTGAAGCTAAGCACTCTGCGCTTTGATCTGGATGATCTTGTGCCCCACTGGCCCAGGATGTTTGCAACGAGCGCGAGCGCAGAAGGGAAGAAGCGCAGAAGACATCTGCAGAAGTGGCGACGACAGGACACCGGGCTTGTTTGAGCTTGTTTCATATACGTCCGCCGTTTAGCCGAGGGGGTCTTCGCTCATGCTTGGAAGCGCTTAGAACACGGTGGAGGTCGAGCCGACCTGGCCATCAAGGAGAAGCAGCTCGGGGAGTTGGGGAAGGAGGCCCGGGAGCGAGCAGAAGTGGCTTTGGCTTTTGGAGAAATCGAAGCCGCGGTGATTTGAAAACCCCGAAATCTACAACCCAGTAGACCCGAGAGGCCTTCCTCAATTTGCGATCGAAGCAATCAGACTCTGTAAGTCTTGAGCGTCGTCATAGGACAGGCGGGAGCCTCAGCAACAGAGCCCGGAAGGTCCGGAATCTCGGGAGCAGACTGGACAAGCACGCCGAGGACCTGCGCTTGCTCCACCAGGACTGCATGCCAGCGTTCAGGCTGAAGCGCCGTAGTATGTCACCGGAGACCAGAGCAATCTCCCATGCTCTGCTGACAGAGGGAACTTTGAAGAACCGGAGGGCCTTTGAGGCTCATGATGCTGGGGCCGGAGTTTTCCTTCTGTAAGAGCCCTCCCTTGGTTTTGCTGCTTCTCGGTTTTGCTTTGGATGATGGTGTATTTTGGTGACCGTTTGGTCAGGATCGCAACAAGGCCCTGCGAGACTTGGAGAGGCTTCGCAGCGAGGTCACCTCCTGCCAGAATCGGCGGCTGGGCGTCACCGGAAGTTCTTTGTTTATGTATGCTTCGAGGTTAGATGTATCCGGGCCTGTTTTGGCCGGGTTGAACGGAACTTGCCGGGCAGCATGTCATGTGTGGGATTGCTGCAGCATCCCATCAATGAATCACCCTGAGGCTAGACGGGACCATGCCCAGGGCAAACCGTCATGCTGTCTCAGCCGTGCTGAGCTGGGCAGCAGAGCAGGGCTTGCAGGACACTGAATCACCGTACCTTTTCGTTTAGTTTAGAGTCCATAGAGTCAGAATTTGCAGTCTCTTCCGAACACGGCACCAGGTGAACGGAAACTGTCGCAATCTGATACGAGAGCACATTAGAAACAGGACCCCTGCACCCATCGACATGAGCTGGCTCTTTGTTTTTTGTTTGTAGCCATCCAATCCGAATCTGCCGCTCTGTGCAGAGATTAAATGTGTGCCCGTACCAGCGCGGGGGGGTAAGAGTCACTATGAGTCCGTGAGGACCGCATTCGGGGCACACTCCTCTCCCACATCGAGGTGGCCCCAACCTTCCGCGCAGCAGTGGAGAACTTTGCCGGCACTGCCTTGTTCAATGCACCTTGCCCTCACACAACCTATTTTTAGTAACATCGAAGTATGCAGGCTTTGCACCTTCTTTAGAATAGACTCAGGTTCTTGCCATGGATGACGACGCGGCAGCTCAGGCCGTGAAGCACGTCCGGGTGCGGCGCTTGGGCGCCGTCGTAGTGACGCCGCTGAGCCAGCTGCCTCTACGGGCCCACACTTTCCCGACCTTAGAAGGTGTGAAGCCTCTGGTGGATGTTGTGAGATGTCCAGACTGGGTCCGGCCTGCTGTGCAGCAGATCTTTGGCAGGGCGGTCGTTTGCTCCAGCATGGAGCTGTGTGAGGAAGTCGCCCGGCACCACGGCATCGATGCAATCTCGCTGGATGGGGACCGGGTGAGTCGCAAAGGCGTCATCACTGGTGGCTTCCAGGATCCTCAGCGCTTCGTCCGCTTGTCCCTTGCTGAAGCCATCAGAGTGGCGGAGCAGAAGCTCGAGAAAGCAGAGCGGAAACTTCCGGACTTCGATGCCCAGATTGAGACCGTGACCGACTCTGTCAACGGTTTGCACGTGGAGCGCCGCAGCAAACAGGAGCAGCGTGACAAGCTGAGGGCGGAGATGCAGCGCTTGGCCGAGGAGGTGAAGGGCTCCGAAGAGGCGCTCTCGCGCGCCAACCGAGAGTTGACGGAGCTCCGGGAGTGGCGCCACCGCATGGAGGTCTTGATCCGCGAGTGCGAGGCTTCCATCGCCGCCAAGCGCGCGGAGCGCGCCTCGCGGTCCCTGAACGGCCTCACCGCTGCCGAAGAGCGGCGCCTGCAGGCTTTGACGGAGCAACTCCAGGAGCTGCAGGGCCAGGAAGCGCAGGCCGGAGACTCTTTTCATGCTATACGGTACCACTGTAGATACTAGTTACTAGTCAGCATCTGAGATGTTTCTGACTGCCTGGGGCCTTGTGGGATCAAGATCTTTCAGATTTGCGGGCATGTGTTGCAGAAGCTGTGTCGACACAGGCACAGGAGGCGCTGAAGGTGCTGCAGACGAGCCTTGAAGAGAAGCAGGCGCAGCTGGAAGGTTCTTTGAGGCCCCGGCTGCATTTGTTGGAGCTGGAGGTGGCCAGCACGGCTCCGGAGGAGACGGCCGAGCGGGCAGAGGAGGCGGTGAAGTTCCAAGGACGCATTCAGAAAGAGCACGGAGAGGCCTTGAGCCGCTTGCAGAAGGAGGCCGAGGAGATGCAGCGCTTATCTGAGCGGCTTTCGGAGAGCCGAAAGCTTTCGGAGCAGCTCGTGACCGAAGAGCAGCGGGCCACGGACCAGGCAGCTCAGGCCTCGGTTCGCCTGGACCAGATCACGGCGGAGCAGAGCGCCATGAGCGCTAAGAAGGCGGAAGTCGACGGAAAGCTACAGGGCTTGGCGGCGGCACCCGTCGAGGTCGAGCAGTGCCGGCAGCTCCCCAAGGCCCAGCTTCTCCAGGAGCTCTCGGAGGCCACCCGCATGTTACAACAGATCCAGCACGTGAACCGCAAGGCTGTGGAGCAGTACGAGAACTTCTCGGAGCAGCTCCTGGATCTGCAGGGTCGTAAGGAGCAGATCGAAGCCGGGGAGGCCGCGATCGCGGAAGCGATCCAGCAGATCGATGCACAAAAGGAGGAGTCAGTGCACCAGGCTTTGCGCAAGGTGAACCAAAACTTTCAGCAAGTCTTCAGTGAGATGGTTCCGGGAGGTGTCGGCCAGCTGCATGTAACGCGACAGGCTCAGGGCGAGACGCAGAGTCAGGAAGGTCTGGGAGACATTTCGGGCGTTCGCATCGAGGTGTCCTTCACTGGCCAAGCACAATCCTTCCTGTCCATGAACCAGCTGTCCGGGGGCCAGAAGACCGTGGTCGCTTTGAGCTTGGTGTTCGCGATCCAAAGGCTGGAGCCCGCTCCCTTCTATTTGTTGGATGAGGTCGATGCAGCTCTAGATGCCTCCTACCGCACGGCGCTGGCGAACCTCATCGCACGCACGGCCAAGAAATCTCAAGTGATCATGACAACCTTCAGGCCGGAGTCGCTGGACAAGGCCGACAGATGCTACCGTGTTTACCAGCGGAACCGAGCAAGCCGCATCGACGCAGTGAGCCGCGAAGTGGCCGCCGACCTGCTTCGTGAGCAGGACCGCTTGGCCCACTTGACTCAAGCCGAAGCCGGGGCGGAGGCTCAGGGAGCTCTCGCAGCCTGAGGCCAGGTGAAGTTAATTCCCGAATTTCAGCACCCACACATGCCCACACCTTGAGGATGTACAGTTGGCGATCCCTGTCCGGTGACGGTGCAGGGCCACCAGATGTTGCCGCAGGGGTGCCACACCGGCAAGTCTTTCTTGGGTAGACTGCAGTGGCGCTCAACTGCCAAGCATCTGTACGGCCAACATTGTCTCTGATCGCACGACGTCTCAAGATTCGCATGCTCTCTGCGCGTAAAAAAAGCGAGTCCTAAAGGTCTGTTCAGCGTCCGGTTGAGCTGAGCTGCAGTTGCGTTGCTTTGCCTGAACTCCGTCACCATCCCTTGTAGGCTCACAGGAAGCCCGGGCAACTCCATGAACCATCCGAGCCATCAGTCGTGGGACTTGATGCCAATAAGACAGTCAGAAGTTAGTGATCAGATCGCATGCAGCTACAATGAACCTGGACCCTGCCATGTCTGCCAGCTTGCTGACAGGCGCCTACAAGGCACGATAAAGGGGTCCCCAGGTTTGTCAAGAATTTTGGCAATGGCCTTGGCTAGCTTAAGCCGCAAGCCGCAAACTTTTGCAGAATGAGTCGTCGATTGATTGAGACACTCTCCTTTGGCCTTTGGCCGCATTGTGCCTGGCTCCACCGACAGCGATGTCCCTGTCAGCTAGCTCACCTGAAGAGGTCAGCGATCCTGGAGTGTCTCTCGCAGGCAAGTCTGCAGCCTTCATCATCGTCGCTATGTTTTGTGCTTCGTATCTGCATGTGGCCAGGTGTGGTTGCGTAGATGGGCCGTCTCGAAGTGTTCAAACCAACACGGCATCAGCCCGACAGTGTCCGTCGACAATCTGTAGTCACCAACACCAACGTTTCAAAGGCGGTGCAAGGGCCCCGGGAGGACGTTTGCAGGCGGTGTTGATGCTGGTGGAAGCAGTGGCGGTGCTTGTGCTGCTGGTGCCGGCGGCGAGGGCGGAGGTTCATCATGATGAAGCACCATGATCACAAAACATGACTAAAATATGATGAATGATGGTGATTCTTCGTTCCGTCTCCATACTTCGAGGGCTGAGACCATGCTGCGTTTCCGAAGCACGGCAAGCAATTTAGATTTCTACTCTCCACATGTGTCCTCAGCATCAGCATTCCTGCGCAGGTCGCGTGTTCCTCGAGAGTGTGCACGCTGAGGCGACACAGTTTGAGCCGCGGTTGCTTTGACAGACGGGGACGCAGCAGCGTAGCAGAGTGACCGGCACTGACTGCAAGTCAGTGACGAGTGATGATAACAGGGTAGCCCCGAACGATTGGACGGCTCGGTCCCGCATGATCGCGTCACTCCGAAGCTCGTAACCCCTAAATGCATTTTCGCACAGCTCTACAGCGACCTCGGTCTCCTGCTGGTGTTCCTTGGCGCCGTCCTCGCCCTTCAATTCCTCTACTACGAGGTGCCAGATCACATACAGACTTCTGAAGCTCGCGACGCCCTGCCCGCACGGAAGTCAAGAGCTGCCTTGACTTTACTCTGACTGGAGGTGGCGATGCTGAAGAACCCTTCGGGCCGTTCCCTGGGCCTCCAAGTTTTCGTGGCCCTGGCATCATCTTCCTTCCTGGGCCGGGGACTTGGGGACTTCGGGGTCAGAGCTTCGTTTCTCAACCCGGGCAGTTGAGGTCTCGGGCTATTCTTCCTCTATGCCTGGGCTGGCTTGTGCCCACAATCATTGCTGCAACAAGCTTTGTGCTTGTCGCACGGTTTTGGCTGGGATTTTCGTGACCAGAGGTACTCCTGAGACGTGTCCCGTATGGTCCTGGAGTACTGGAAGAGCAAGGCGCGCGGGGGATCAGAAGTCAACCAGCCAGTGGGCTCCCCGGAGTTTGCTGGCAGGAGTTCTTCGGGCAGCTGGAGACGAGGCAGCAAGGTCTCCTGGCGTAAGAGCCAGGCTAGCAGGTGATCGGCACGCGATTCTGAGCGCGATGGCATGGGTCCCGCTGCGGGAGCTGCTGCAGCTCCGTGCACACAAAGGTCAGTTGACGCCCGAAGGGAGACAAACGAGTGACGACTTGCCTGTGCAGCAGCTAGTGGACAAGTATTTTGGGCAGATGCTGCGCGCTTCGTCACGCAAACTCTTCTTTTACGACCCGGCCAGCGATGTCGTGTGTCAGAGGCATTACTGTCGTATCGCATATAGAGATTTCCACACTACAGAGCTTCGTACTCCACCCTTGCATGTGTGCATGGATTCCACTGTTCTTGGCTTTTCTAGCACCACGTCGCTTCATAATGTGGAAGATGAGGAGAAGTTCTAGAGGTTATTTCCTACGGTGGGCTGTAGCCGTAGCCTACAATCTCAACAATAGTGTTGGGTGCCTCGGAAATCTACAAATAAGACGGGATGACCAAGAGCTTTGCCACGTTACATCTGTTCAAGATAGAATCAAGTTTGTAAGAAACCCGACTTTGAATTAAGGAGAGCTTGTTTGCCAGAAGTTGCTGTGGGGTCCGCAGCGATGTCCGTGTTGTTGGCCGCCGCCTTCAACATCGTTTCGAGCGCGGGCGCCTCTTTCTGGGCGGGCTGTCAACAGTGACGACTGGGGCATGAAGAGCACGGCGCCAGTCTGGCAGAACCGGTCGTGATGAGAATCATCATCTACCAAGGTGAGCATAATCTTGGTCAACAAGCAGATTGCTTCAGTATGTCGCCGGGGCACCAAGTGCTCCGTCAATTACAGCAAACCAACTATGTCGGGCATGCAGTATACGCACACAGTCGGTGCTGGACTCGTGTTTGCGGTACACGGACAGATTCCCTGGCAAAGAAGTCATGTTTTGAGGGGGCGGGCACATGGCATCAAGTGTTGCATAGCTAACATGGAGACACCGTGGAAACCCATTCTGACAGTCATGACTTCTATCCGCCCTACAGTAGTCTCCGCACGCCATCCTGCACCGGTGTGACTCTCAAAGCTTCGTAAATACCGGTAGTCTCTGCCTGCCTGATACCGCAGTCACATCCGTCCACAGAGGCTTCGATTTCATTCTGACAATGCTTTTTCTCAACTTCCTGACGACAGCGTCGGGCTCTCAGACTCTCTCACTATAGGTTTGCGGAGGCAGTGACCCAGCCATATCAGAGGTCGCTGCTGGAAGTACTGGCAAAGCTCCAGTGGTTTGAGAAGAAGCACCTGCCGATGCGCGAGCGAGTCTGATCAGCAGACATCGTCTTTGTAGCTGTTGACAAGCCAAACCCAGGATGTCTTGCGTCGCAGAAGCTGCAACATTTCCCAAGCCCGAGACTGGCCTTTTTTGCGTATCCCAAGCTGGTCGTTGTCAACTTCGCCCCAAAATCCCAGGATGGCTCATCGCAGGCGCCCTCGGGTCGGGTACAGGCTTGATCTTTCAAGTTGCTCGAATCCAGATTGTTGGTTTGGGAGTGTCACTCCATTTTCGTTTATTCGTTTGTGTCTATACCTGTACATATATAACATAGTATAGATACACATACATATGTACGTACATCCATAGATGTGCTGTGTACATCGCGATTGTGGAGACTTTCAAGCTCTTGGCAGCTCTAGCATCACCTCTCACACGGCGGCTGGATCTCCCATTGTCCATTCAACGAAGGCAATGAATGAGCAGCACAGGCTAAGGCAGCACAAGAACGCAAGCAATGTCATTGCTCCCGCCAGCTCCACGCAGGCATTGCGCTTAGCACGGTTCTCCTGAACAACTGCAGCAATGAGGCATGCAGCTCTTTTCAAAGATGTTCATGCACAGTCGTGAAGCATGCCCAGCCATCCACTGCGCTGTACCAGGAAGAGCTGTCTAGTACATGGCAGTTGCTCCGTGACATGGGAGGTGCGCCTCTGCGGGCAGGTTAGTGGCTCCAAGAGATAATATGTCATTTAGCATCGTAGCAAACAGCAATCACAGACCCGCTGTAATCGTGAGTTTAAAGCTTCAGATCAGCCCGGAAGAAGGGCCGTCGATACCCATGGGTCGAAGCATCAACTGGCAAGATGCAGTCAGTGGCTCCGCAGCCGGTGCGGTGTCCAAGACTGCCACAGCCCCGCTGGAGCGAGTCAAGATGGTGTTGCACAGCAAAAGAGAGTAGGGTTTTGCTTGTCTTCGCACTTTCGGAATCCCATAAACCCTAACAAAGCTGACACAACTCCAGGCTTCAGAATCAGCAGCTGTCTGTCGGCAGGGCTGCAAGGACACCACTGCGCAACGTGGTACACGCCGCTGCGCAGCCGCTTGGCCTTGGCACCTTCAGATGTAATGAGTTTTGGTTTTGGTTCACTCGGGTTTCAAGTTGTAATTTCCCAAGTGAGTTGGACAAAGGCTCTTCTGCGATGTTTGCCGTAAGAGAACACAACAGTCTCCATCCTACCTTCTTGAAACCGTGTTCGACTGACAGTATACAGATCCAGCTCCGAAAACATACAGCGTTCACATGCGAGGTCGTGTTGGCTCGAAGATTATCCCACTGCAACTGCATAGATGGATCGTAATTGGTACATAGATTGCAGAAGCACCGGTGCTGCGATTCAAAGTTTGGGTAAGGATATATTCCATACATATTGCATACTAGCTGAATTATATGCCATGCTGCGCACAATAGTAGAACGTTGGGGCATGTTTGCAGGATAACCACATATGTCACATATGAGACGAGATTACCATGATGCAAATGAGAGCACAGCCTCAGAGCCTCGCAGGCCAGGTTTGTCCCTCGGCCAAGACTGAACAAAAGGTCGTACTACCTCACCAGCACAGTTGCCAATGTAGGCATCGTTTTCAGAATGCAAGCCGCGTGACTTCACTCATGCAGTCCGCAACAGGCAAGGATGGACATGTATAGCGTAAAGAAACGACGTTTGGCAGTTGGTATAGTTTATAGAGGGATAGCTCCCAAATGTGCTGAATTCATGTCTTGACTTGGAACAACGGCTACTGCGTCGTGGTGCAGTTCGTTTCCATTCGCCAAGACGTTTCCTTGGATGAAAGTTCGCTGGGGTTCCACTCGATTCGCTGCCTGTGTTGACCGTGTTCTTCGCTTCAGTTGCGTTTCGGCCGGCTCTTCACAATCTTCCAAAGCCTGAGGTGTTTCATGATAGTTGGGGCCAGGTCGCAATAAATCGGGTAATCGCGCTTGTCATCACCTACGTGTTCTGACGTCCCACAGGCTTCTGCAGGAGCCATGCGGACTGAGAGGGTTTTGGCGCGGTAACTTGGCCAACGTCCTCCGCGTCGTTCCCACCTACGGGGCCCGATTCTGGCTGTTTGCCCTGTGCGACGAGACGCTGTCCTTTGTGCCACAGACAGACACAAGGCGTGGCGTGCATAATAATTTGTCTTGTACCGTCGTGACACTGGCTTGTAGTTTCTGCACAGCAAATGCGCAATGTGGCAACCCAGGCCAACCGCGCATCCACCCACTCGCAGCTAAATTTCCAGTTTCTGTAGGGCATTATCCCTCCGGAATCTCAAAGATGTCCCGGAGCCAGGGCATTCAATATGTTGCAGAACTACGGAAATCAGGGGATCACAAGCCCAATCTGGCAGCCGCAGGCGCTTCATCTCGGGCGGCATGGCGGGTGTGGGTGCCCTGCTGCTAACGCATCCTCTGGACGAGCTGGGCTAGCAGGGTATATGCTGTGTGTGTCCTTTTTGGGGGACAGCTTTGAGGGGTTGCCGGCTGGCGATACAGTAAATTCTGCACAGACGAGTGAACAGGTTCAGCATCTGCATTGAGGATGCTTCGTTCAACAGAACTTGCTCCTTCCTCCTGGGCTGTGAGCTCTAAAAGTCGATGTTGACGCACTTGCTGCCGAAGTCTCTGGAAGTCATTAAGATGACGACAAGACATGTTTACAATACTCTGGAGCTTTGAGCGGGCTGGAATGATGATAGGCGTACTCTCTCTGGTTTTATTGGATTGGTAGAAACATGTCAATGTAGACACAACTGTTAAGGTTGAAGGTATCGTACAAACTTTGACGACAATGCCTGCAAATCTCATCGGAAGTTCTCGTTCCAGCGAGGACATGGTAAGAACCCGCCTGGCTGCAGCACGTGTGTTTGCGGACGAAGCATCCTACAACGGCTTTGCTGCCTCGTGGCAGCACGTAAAACAATCGGAGTATGCACCGCGTCCGAATTCGTCGTGAGAGAGTCTGCTGCATCTCACAACAATTCCCAGTACACCTCGGGAACTTGGGATTGGACTGCATCTTGGCCCCACCGTCCTAGGATTGCTTCCTGAGCGCTTGGAGAAAGGGGGGTGTGCGGGGGCTCTACGCCGGCTGCCTTGCCAGCATGTTGGAAATTGCTCCATACAGCGCCATCGTCTTCACTTCCTATGAAGGTGGGAGGTCGAACAAGCTGGCAAGGCATCACTTTATCATGCACTCGCTTCCCATGACTTCTCAGCAGGCATCAAGCAGCGTTTGATGCCTGCGGGCAGCACTGGCATTTTACCATCCGGGCCGCAGATTCTGGCAGGAGCTAGTTTGTCTAGCAGCCAGTCCCACATTGGCCCCATTGGATGTATTTGCGGTCGCTTCGTGCAGCCTTTAGAGCCCTAGCAGAGTACTATAGCAGCTCTACTTTTTTCAACATGCGGAGCATCTGTAACAGCACGAAGGCTTGCTAGAACCTGACAGGAGCATGCAGCGGGATGATTGCGGCAAGCGTTTGCTATCCGTTGGACACCATTAGGAGGCAGCTGATGTTGGATGGAGCACTTGGCTTTGATGCTAGATATGGTGGCAGCATTTGGAAATGCTGTAAGAGCTTGTGGCTCCAAGGCGGCTTCTTATTGTTTTACCGGGGGTGGACAGCGACGCTGCTGAAAGCTGTGCCGACCGTGACGATCACGTTTCTGACGAAAGACTTCCTATCCGACATGCTGAAGCAGTCCGGATGACTCGGCAAGCCCTGCAACGATAAGACTTGTCTTAGATGGTGACGCAAGTGTGCCTTCGCTCCATGGCGAATGAGGTACTGCGGCTGAAGCTCATGGATCTAAACAGGGCGTGTGTGAACGATGTCGAATGTCGACGGAGTTGCACAAGACTTTCTGGCCGCAGATCGCGAACGTGACAGGCCGAAACTCGTGATGGTTCGGTCAGAGCGCGAAGCCATCGCTTGCAGGGACCGCAGGACCCGGCAGGACATCGCCACGCCTCGCTGTTCTTCATCGGATGCCTCTTTGAATCAGCTTGTCGGAGCAGAAAAGTTCAGCGTGATCAGCTTGACAAGCAGTGAGCAGGGTTCAGGAGCAGACTTCCAACTGTGCAGGCAAACAGTGTCGGGTTCTATCAGATCACAAAGCTGCTCGGACTTCGCTGACTTCACCTGCAAAGACTTCACCCGCCTGCAGAGACTTCGCCTCTCCCCGGTTGTTTCTGGCTCCAAGGTTGCTGATCATCCCCACTGTGATGGGTCCTGGACTCAGTCGTGAGCTATTCTGATTTGCGGGCCTTCCGGCTTGTCCCTGTGCCGTGGTCACCCGCAACTTGCCCCAGGACTGGAACGACTGCAGGGGCGAAAGTCGGCAGTTTACAGTCGCAAGGCCATTATGGCCAGTGTCGCAAGCAGTCTCACGTCTCAAGCGTCGCGTTGTGTTCCATAACCCGTGCTACAACTCGAGCACTTAGTGCTTAGGACGGCCACAGCTGTTGGATGTTATTTTGGCGGTGTATTGTTTTAGGTGGTTTATGGCCGCGCATGCAGGTGATCCTTAGCATCGTGGTCACAGCCATTGGAGTGGGAGCCTTTGTTTCTGTCGACGTGGAAAGCTCAAGGTGCAAAAGAGTCAGAGAACAGTCCATCCTTTCGCTCTTGTGGGGCGCGACCCGTATGCTTGCCTGAAAGGCTGCCGGCAGCAGAGCATGTGGTGTACGAGACTGTAGGAGATATTTAGAAAGTTGGAGACGCAAACCTGACGCGATGCCTACAGGTGGCCGTGGCGACCGTCTCGGACTTCGAGATGAACGCCTGAAGCCGAGCAAAACATGCTTGGTGCAGATTGTGTTCGTTGCAGCGGCTGATGCTACGAGCAGTCCGGGAAGGTTCGCGGGACCATCCTGGCGGCTCTCTCAATCGTGAGCACTGCCCAGCACTTGGTCGCTCGAGCTTTGCCTGCGAGGATGCGAAGCAGAGCCCCGCCAGGCACAGTACCAAATTTGGCAAGGCTCGAAGCAGCACGAGCTACTCATCTGCAAGATGCAACTCTTGGGTCGCCAGAGCGATCGTAGCACATCGAGGCATGGCGTGACCGCTACGCAGATCACGTACTCCGTCGCATCGTTCTCAGTACGTTGAAGCTTACATCAAGATGGCGGACTCGCTTGAATCAGTAGACAGGCATGGCCACAATCCATTGCGGGGCTTGCAAGTTCGCTGACAGCTGATGCACTTGGGCAGCACCAGCACCGAAGCGAGATTTCCTGAGCACGTTTGCTAGCCGCTGCGCAGACCCAGGTGCTCATGCCGCAGTTGAAGGCACAGCACCAAGCAGAAGCAACTTGTGAGAGTGTGCATGACGCTCGCACATCACAGAAACCAACCCCGAACCCCGAACATATCCCGAATCCCAAGAAACTGCAGAGGTCCTCATTCTAATGAGACCATCCTGCCTTCTGGAACATCAGCTCTCTGGCCAAGGCAAGGCCGTCTCTATCTGCAAGTTTACTTCTCTTCTACCAAGCCCATATTATCTTTAGACAGTCTGAAGGTTTTGGAAAGAAGGGTCTCTTCTGAAGAGTCCTTATGAACATGATCCTGGACTATGTCAATCGGTTTCTGCATTGTCCTCATTTTCTGAAGCTCGCAGATTTGCTCCAAGCTTCAACCATCGATACTACTGTATCATGTCCATGCACATCTGTAAATACAGACAGTCAAGCACAAGTGTGTAGAGTCAGTCGTGTTTACGCTGACAGGCGATCTCTTCTGGATCGCTCTTTGCAACGTATTGGCCGTGTGTACCAACATCTCTGCCCGGAGCCCGTTGCAGGGAGCAGCAGCCGAAGCGCTCCAGTGGGATTCATGCACTTACCAGTCCTGTAAGAAGCACGATGGTTCCGAAGATCCTGCCTTGACCGGCCTCCTCTCCCCCTTGTCCCCAAGCGTCGACACCCCACCCCAGGTCTATGGCCTCATCGGCAAGACGTCCCCAGTGACCTACCAGGCAGGACGGCTTGAATCCTTTGCTTGAAGTTCCAGGTTGCTGCCGCCAAAAGCAAAGGGCACCGAAGAAAGGGTCCTTCCCGCGGAGCATCGTCCTGTTTGCTTTTCGGTGGTTTCGCATTTGGATACTGGCTGGAAACCACGCCCAACATTCCGTCCCTCCAAGCCGCAAAACCACGTGTCGTTGGCTGTGGCTATGTCGCTGTGGGTCAGGCAAAGTCAGGTCAGGTATGACAAAGTCGGGGCCTTCGCCGGTGAAGGTGGTTGGACAGCTGAAGACGGTGCTTGTCGTGGTATTTGGCTACATCTTCTTCGATGTATGCTGGCAGCACATAGATCGAGTTCCCGAAACTTTGAGGCATGATCAGTGAAGTGTCCAAAGTCGAGCCAAGGTTCGTGTTCCCCTGCATTGGTTGAGCCTTGGACTTTACGCCCCTGGGCGTCAGTCGCCCTCAGTTCCATGAGGCTTCTTGATGCGCTGGTATGTACTCGTCGCAGTCCCAACTAAGGATGCTTCGCTTCGCAGGCGTCGGGGTTGCAGTCGTTGGCGTGTTCAGCTACGTGGCTCGCCTCAGGTTAGAGTATGGGCCCTGCAAACGTGGCATCATCCGGTTTCATGAAGCATCCAGCTTGGCTAACTGAGGCCTTGTGCAAGAGTGCAGAGGGACGTGAGAAGAAGAGCTAGCATGGGGACAAAAAGGCATGCTCCGACCCTAGGCCTTATAGGTCCTTCGTTGCAATTCCGGCACCATACGGCTTTGGGCCTTTCATGTTGAGGAATATGAACCCCAACGAAGGCAATCCATCCTGCTTTGCTTTCCACGGTGCCGTCGGCCATCCTGGCCTTGAGGATCGGCTGCCCGAAACTCTTCCGAGCCGTTCTCCCAGTCGTAGCCGACTCCACCACTTGCTTCTCCTCGTCCTCCTGCTCCGCCGCATCCACGGCCTCGGCGGGCTCCTCCACCGGGGGCTCGTCGACGGGCTCCACTGGCGCAGCCTCCTCCTTTGGCTTGAAGGTCAAAGTCTCGCGCTGCCACAGGCTGCAGGAGAGCCATCCACTCCACCAGTCGCAGACATGGGCAGTGCCGCATCTTCGCACAAGGGCGCCATAGCCGGTGCGAGCGGAGAGGATTTGAAGGAGACGGTCGCAGGATTTTCGGATGGCGAAGGCAGGAGGATCCTCGAGGCGGTATCCTCGATCGAGCCGTCGGGTGCTTCCGCACCATCACTTAAAGCAGTCGCAGGATCCTACACAGTGCATGCTTGATGGCGACTGTGGCGAATATAGGAATATAGTCATGGTCAACAAGGACGCGAGCATGACGATCGCGATATTGGAATGCATTTGCCGAAATAGCCGGAGACTCTTATTAAAGAAGAGTGCACAGGCAGCTGGATGGCGACATTCTGGTTTTCACTTCTTCCTAAACGACGACGGAATCCCAGGAGGGAACCGGCGCCAAGGAAGGAAGCATCCACCATAACGAATCGATGTTCCTGGCTCAGCTGGAGCGTGCCCCGGCGAAACTGGATACTGCTGGCGTGTATATATGTATATATATATATATAATATTCCTTTTTGATTTCCTGGTTTTGTATAAATAAAAGAATAAGAGAGAATTTCATATTAAGATTAGAATCAGAACTCTTTTTTATATAGAAATTAATATAAAATCTTAATAGCAAGGCAAATAAGTGCTTGGACTCTGGATATAGCCTTAGCACTTGGGAACGATATTTTTCTGAATAGCGATGCCTACTATTAGGAAGTGTTTCGTGTATGAATTATATTCTCGGGGGTCGATATTGGGCTCGTAGTATAGGTATTATAGATATTAAAAGCTGCTTATATGATTATATGGTAGAGAATATTCTTAGTAATATCTATTTTATTAGGGTCTATTTTAGGGCCTTTTTTTTTTAGATAATATTATTCTATTAAATTTTCCTATATATAGTTTCATAAATAGTAATTTTATATACAAGAAAAATATTATAGTTTTTCCTGCAAAAAATTAAAAGATATTAGATTATATCTTTGTTTTCAATTAAAAATATATAAATATTTTTTAGATTTCTTCTTATATATATTGATGTTTTATTTAATGATTAATTATTTTTGTCTCGAATATATTGAAATTGATTTAGAATTAATTAGAGTTGAGTCGATGCTTCTAGTAGTAGTATTTAAGTAGAATATATAGCTTGATAATATTCCGGCAACGATAGTTTACGTCTGAATATTTAAAGATAATTTAGACCGCTAGGTCTCAGCACGAAGGCGCACATTTCGTGTAGCGAAGTTGATATCGAAGTCTTGCACATAATTTTCCGATGCTAAAATTAATTATGGATATTTGGATATTTGATTATATAACGCTAGAGATAATTTACGATTATTTATTTTAAAATACTTCAAGACTTTACGATAAATTTCATTTAGAGTGCCATGCCGAAGGCTGAGGGCAGAATTATAAGCAAGATACGAGGGAGACGCCAACCACCATAATATTTTATAGATAAATTATATCAGATAGATAGATAGATAGACAACCAGATAAATAGATAGAGAGAAATAAAAGAAAAATTAAGAAAGGGAGAGATAGAGAGATAAAAAAAGAGAGAGATACAGAGAGAGAGAGAGAGAGAGAGGGAGAGAGAGAGACAAATAAAGAGAAGAGAGATAGAGAGAGAAAAATAGAAAGAGAAAGATAGAGAGAGAAAGATAAAGAGAGAAAAACAAAGAGATAGAGATAGAGAGATAAATAGAAAGAGATAGAAAGAGAAAATTAGAGAGAAAGAAAGAGATAGAGAAAGAGAGAGATAGAGGAAGACAGAGAGAGGGAGAGAGAGACTTTACGACCTTAGTCTTCTAGGTGATTTATGCTCGTGCTTCACTCCCTTGCGTCCAACTAATAATGTGGGATAGACATGATGCCCGGGGGATTTGACCGTTTCCCATGCCCTGGAGAGAGAGAGAGAGAGATCCATAGAGAGAGCAAGATATAGAGAACGAGAGATAGAGAGAGAGAGAGAGAATAATAAATAGAAAAATAGATAGAAAACAAGACACAGAGACAGATAGAGAAATAGACAGAGAAATAGATAGAGAGAGAGATAGAGAGAGAGATAGAGAGGGAGACAAAGAGAGAGATAAAGAGAGAGAGATATAGAGATAGAGATCTAGAAAGATAGAAATACAGAGAGACAGAGACGTAGAGAGACAGAGACATAGACAGAGAGGCAGACAGGCAGACAGACAGACAGACAGACAGAAAGACAGACAGAAAGACAGACAGACAGGCAGACAGACAGACAGACCGACGGACGGACGGACGGACGGACGGACGGACGGACCGACGGACAGACAGACAGACAGACAGACAGATACTGAACTTTCGCGTGCAAGCGCTCATCCATAGCACTATATATGAAAATCCCTAGAATAGATAACCCATATGAATGGATGAGGCACGATATTCTAATATAAGATTATAAAAAGATTGTAGGCACATATTCTGCATTTGGAATATAAGATATTAGAAGGTTATATTCGTTCTCTAAATTTTCGGAAAATTTTCGATGCCTAAATTTTTCGAGAATTTAGAGAAGCCATAACTGAAAATTTTGGGCAAATTTCGAGACCGAGTCGAGCTACCCGGATCCCCAAATTTTCCAAAAATTTAGAAGATTGGGCCTAGCCCGAGACCGCCGAAGAGGCCCCGCCCTCTTAAAGCTGCAGCCCGANNATTTTCCGGAAATTTTGGGTCCCGGGTAGACCCAATCGGCTTACTCGCCGGGGTCCAGAAATTACCCGAAAATTTTGGGGCTGGGGCGCTCCGAGGCGTGACGCACCGCATAGGGCTGATTTGATTATAGTATTTTAGCGAATAAAAATATAAATAGAAAGACAACTAGAGATATAGAGATAAAAATAGAGATTCCCTTTCTTATATGAGTTCTTATATTCAGAAATATATGCATTCCGAGACGTACAGAGAAATATATGCCCATAATCATATATATGCCTAAATTCAAAAAAATACGCACTTCGAGAAACATAGAGAGGCGCACGCACACAAACACCTACTTCGAGAATACACGGCACTAGAGCTCATAACACCGAAATCTTGGAAATTTTAATGCGACGAGTATATTTCAATAAAAATTGACCAAATAAATTTAAGATACCGAAATTTATTTTCAAGATCCTAATTATCTTAATTCTAAATATATTTAATATAAAATATGTTTTAATTTCTAATCAAATATTTAATTTATTCCTAGCTACTTATATAATATCTAATCTATAGCAGAAAATACTCATTTATAAAATATTTATTCATATTTAAATTTAGATAGTCTATTCATATTTATTCTATATTCATTTAGTTTCGAATATATTTTATATATTCTATATCGATATAAATATTAATTTTAATCATCAAGAAATCGAAATCTTCTTTATATAACAAATACTTAATAAGAATAAGTATAATTTCTACGAAATTAAATTTAAATAATTTCAAAATATTATAAATTATAAGAAAATATTTATCGGAGCGATTATATTTATCGAATATTTATAAATCAAAATTCTTACGCCACCCCAAATCAAAATAAGATCAAAAATAATTTCAATTTATAAAATTTATTAGTATCTCTTAATCTTGCAAATTATATAATCTATCCTTAGAGATTCATGATGATAGTATTTATCTAGAAATATAGTATTTTATCTAAATATCATTTTCTGCCCATAATTCAAATCGGAATTATAATTTATAACGCTTAGCGAAGTATAGAAACAATTATAAACAATAGAGCATGCGAAAAAAAGACAATACCTCTGTGTATAAGAAATACGAGGCTAGTTCAAGATATATGGGCCAGACAAAGATTTATAAATGCCAAGAATAGAATCGGACGAGATATAATGCCGCAAAACGAGCAAAAAAATCCTAACATGCAGCACTTAACAACTGGATTTTACACCAAGAGAAGAAAGGTCAGCAAAGCCTTCGACGAATGGTAAATCAAACTAAGCAATGAAAGGAAAAGTGCACTCTGCTGCCGGCCGAAGCGGTCAGAGTTTCCTACAGAAATCTGCTGGACTCTCTGGGCCCATGCACAAAGCCCCATACAGGGTTTTTCGTAAAAATGTTTGTGAAGCTATTTCACCCGCCCTCCCCCCCATGCCCTCCCTCATTTCCCCCCTCCCCTTCCCTTCATCCCCTCCTGCTGCCTCTGCTGCGCAAGGGACGCCTTGAAGAAACAGCTGACCAACTTGTCGGCCCCCCTTATTGGCCGCCGGGCCGAGGTGGACGACGCAAATCGTTTACAATTATAGCAAGCAAGTTCGTCAGGATTGATTCACGGTACGCGCGAGTTGAGATGCTGGAGCTTGCATGATGTGGTTCATCAAAGCCCGTCCTAATTCCGACTCTGCAACTTTACTTGATCTGTCACGTGTCGTGCATGGTATGTACGTACTCAGCAGATGTTCTGCAAGGCCCGCGATTGGCGGGAGATCGCGCGAGCTCACATACTCCGCCGCGCCACTGGAAGCTGCAGTTTACGCCTGTTGACATTACTACTGATTGCCAACAGTAACAAGAATAAGAATAGGAATAAGAACTAAGAACAATGATGATCATAGCAATAAGAAGAAGAATGAAGCCTCAATGAGCCAGAAGGCCTCGGGCTAGACTAGACTGACATTTGCTGTTTCACGTCACTAGTAGGGATTGGTGAAGGAAGATGAAGGAAGCGAACAACCCCGGGCCAGCTGAAAGGAAATCTGAGGAAATGCGAACGCACGGTGGAGTACAGTTGGTCCACTCCTCTTTAAAACCTGATATTCGCGGGCACTTGTAAGAAAACGGTCTACTCACTGACTCGCAACAGTTTCTCGGATTGCAACTGCACCAACTTCGACACCCATGTGATGCTGCCACACGTGATCAAAGGAATGTATATGGTTGAACACACGTTCACCCACAGGTCACCGAATCTCAGATCTTTGGTCCGCTGCCTTGCTGCAAGTTAGCACCGACACAACTGCAGCGACCGGGTTGCAAGAGCCTATTGCAAACCGTGGCGAGCTTATTAGACCCGCAACTGAAGCACCCGCCTTTCCAGCAGATCTCTGTCGGGAGGAGGTGGGTCAGCCCTGGGAGGTGCAGGTTCGAGGACGTTCTCCGACCTTCGGATGCTCAACATCTCCCGTTGAGGACACAAATCACACATGTCCTACCAGAAGTGCATCCCTCGCCGGAAACCCGGCTCTGTCTGACGCTGAGGATGGTTCCCTCTATATCTGAATCGAGAGTGGGGGTTGTAGCTACCACCGTAGGCTGCAGCAAAGCTCAGGATCTCGACTCGTATTGGAGGTCGAGGAAGGCAGAAGGCCGTTTACGCTCGACCAGAGCACAAGTCCTTAAGCCCACGCCGCGGCTTGATCTCTTTACATGGGTTTGTACAGGGTTAATTAGGCGTGGTCACAGCCTCAGAGTGACATTGCTCAAGAGCTTGAGAAGCTGGTCTCGTTGCAGTTGCCAGCTGTAGTCTGCAACTGCAGGGTCACCGCCGCGGCTTCAGCGCGGAGGCGTGGCTATGGTTCCAAATTTGTATCTGTACATTCTCGCGATTGCAGGCTTTTCGCCATGGCGCTGAGCTCCTCGATTGCAACAAAGCACAGGGCGACCGACACCAGTGGTACCGTCAAGGCCGCTGGAAAATAGCCGCCGGACATTGTCACAACTACACGCAATCCGACATAGACTGCAGTTGCTGCGGAAGCTCCGCAACTTGCCAAGAGGATCACCAAACGATAGCTTTGCGACCGGTAGCGGAGCGAGATCCACAGTGCAATCAAAGCAGCGTTGTAACCGAACAAACCGTCCTGAATCTCAGAGGCTCTTCCGCCACATCCCACACCCCAAAGTGCACCGACACAGGAGCCAATCAGGGATGCTAGTGCAGAAAAAGGGCTAGCCAGATAAATACCCAAGGTAATGAGGACGCCACTGTATACGCTGGTGACAAAAAACATCTGTGCCACTCCGTTCAAGGTCGCCAGAGGCAGGTTCATTCCAGCAAGCATGGAGAAGTCACTTCTCCAAGTGAAGACACCCTTACCGTGTCCCTGCGGATGACTACCACCATGCTGTTCAATCCAGACATGCACGCAGCATATTGTAACCAGGGACACCAGGTTGAAGGCCAAGGTAAGTTGCGGCTTCAGAATCCTGCTTATCCCAACAAAAACCACTGCTGAAATGCCAGCGCAGAAAATCGTTAGCAGCAGGCTCAACAGGAAGTTCTCGATGAATACGGCAAAACTACAGCCGACAAGGACACCGTTGTAGCCGAGCATGCCTTCCTTCCTTGCGTCTCTATCTAACCCCAAACATGCAGCGACACCTGTCGAGGAGAGGCAGCCAAAGATGGATAAGACTAGCGCAGCCCTTGGAAGGCCAAGCAGAATCGCCACCAGGAAGAGCAGTGCCGAGCCTGAATTTTTGACAAAGCATACCTGAGACACTCCACTGAGGCCATCAACCACAAATTCTGGCACCAAGGAGGCACTGGCACCTTCTGCACCACTTTCATCTGTGGCCGACATGCCACAGCACCACGGACACGAAGAGCACCATCTGCCTTTTTTGATGTCCTCACCCGAGCTTGCACTGCCTTGGCTTTCTACCTCTTCCCCCGATGAGCCCCGACCAATTGCCTGAGGATCCGAGGTCACAGCCATGTCAGCACCATTCGCCGAGCCAAGGCAGAGCTTTGAGCACTGATGCCGGCCGGGGGCAACATCGACAAGCTTCCGAGGCACAACCACAAGGCTATGTCACAAGCTGCTGACGCTCTCCGGATTCCACCTTAGTCTCGGTCTCGCTGAAGGCAAGAGCCATCAGTCGATGCAAGTGCCTGCGTTGAGAAGCAGACACGCTTGAAGCTGTGTTGTGCGCTGCTCCAAAACTGGACAGCAATTGCTTTGGTCTTACGGCATCACACTTTCATCGTGCCATCCTGTACCAAAAATAATTCACTTCAGTACCGCGACTTCAAGACCAGTGGCTCCTGCACAGTGACACCGGCATTCGCGGCCTCGGCAAGGTTCTGTCCAGCAGCTGCGAGAGGATCCCTCGGCAGGCATGGAAGTCTCGCGGGCTTGTCGCGATACTTGGGCCACTTGGGAGGCCCAACTCAACATCAAGAGCTCACAACACATCTGGAGCCGATGACTTACCCGAATAAGCAACTTAAGGCCGGAGCCGAGACATCAAGGTGTCGACAAGACATAGTACTCAACAGCTGCATGTTTCCGCCCTGCCCAACGCTGCACGCTTCGCAGCGCAGGGAGTGCGGCCATCTCCATGACAAGTTGTCTAACGTATAGTTGTGCAGTGCAAGGACACAATTTGCGACAGATCGCCTGCAGGGCCGTTGAAATCTTGACAACGCAGTCCTCAAACCAACACTGCTGCCAACCCACACTGGTAGCAGTACTGACGTTGATCTTCACCGTCATCACCATCACCACCGCTACAATAAAGACAAAACCAACAACCCGATGTGCATGATCCTCATTTCCAGCCGTATCCAATGCCGTCATCATCCGTATCGTCCCTATCAACCTCACGAATCTGCTCGTGAAGATCACTAAACTGCCCAGCCACCCCTTTGCCACCAAACTAAACGGCGTATCAGCTGCGGAATAAGCTGAGTTTTTCCTGAGAGGCCCGGCCAAGCTCAGGCTGCCTCTGCGAAGACTGCTTCGGGTGCAGGCCCTTTAGTGCGCCGGCCCGCGGGCATGCAGTCCAAGCCTCAGGGATTGAAGTCTGAATTTTGGGACAGCCGGCAACCACACATCAACCGCACGAATCCTCATACGGATGTTGCCAAGAACAAACTACCACAACACGCGATGGCAGCGAACTACAGCCCGGGCCGGCTACCACGGTATTTATCCATTTTCTCCGAGCAAGATACACAGGTACTGAGACTTCACATCACCCAGACCTGCGGCACTGACCGTGAAAGGCTGGAATTGCATTGGCACACCTGCATTGCATCTTCATGCCACAGCTAGATTCCGGAAATCGGGAAACCCAAAGATGGTGATGCAGGTGCGCGAGACGACGAAGCTCCCGCATGCAGCCTGATTACCAAGCTGCAACGCAAGGGAGGGCGGAAGCTGCAGCCCGATGACTTCCAGCTCAAGCAGGTTGCGGACTGTACGCCGCTGTAAAATGCAGGAGAATGCTTGAAAACACTATGACGAGGGCAGCTCGATAGACAAATCTGCAAGACGTGATTTACGTCCGGAGTTGGGTGACTGAACTGCTGCGGTTGCGCTACACATACTCTCGCGGCTTGCCACCGAATCAGACCTTTTCTTGACTTTGCCACGCCGGAGCACCTTGCGCAAACGAATGTCTCCTCAGGCTGCAACAGGACAGTAGATTTCTGGAAGCAAACACGAAGATGTTTCATTGCTTTCTGACACCATTTTGATGTATATCGTCCTTACATGGGTATCCATCAAGTAGGTGCTCGGAGTCTTTCTGCCAACGAGCAACGTAGTCTGAGACAGATCTCGCCGGTGGGTCTTCCATCTTCGCCCCGACATTTCTTCAGATCCGACTGCCTTTTGCGGGGCTCTTGACAACTATCTCTGAGAGCGCGCAAGTGTGTGCTCTTCCGTTCTGTTGTGTTTCGTGTGAGTGTTTGTCGGTTGTGTACAACGGTGGTGGTGATGATGATGATGATGACGCCAGTGTAGTACTGACTGCTGGTGTCGCCATGGTTGTTCAGCTTCGCTGGTGTGCTTCCCGCGGGTGTATACCGGCTAAATTTCAGCTCGGATGCCTGGCTGCGAGAACGTTGCGCATGCGCAGTAATTGCGGAAACCTGAATAACACGATGGGTGGCGGAGAGTTGGTCACTTGCCCTTGGCCCCAGCTCTTCAGCCAGCTGCTGAACCCAGGCCAAACATCCTCCAAGATACAGTTCTTCAAGAAGGTGCGGTCCGACTGCTTCCAGCTTCCAATGTTAAGGGACACCCGCAGATTTGATACTTCAAGTGTCCGTGAATCAAAAATGACAGACACCGAGCTGAAGGCATTGGCAGTCTCCTTGTTGCGGGCGTGGAACTGCAAGTGCTTGTTCAAGGGTGCAGCCAGCTCACCACCAAAGGAAGCTGATTCAAAGTGTGTTGGGGAAGTATCTGAGGGTGAGGAATCATTGCCCTCACCTGCACTGATGGCCCCAGGCTCCATGCTTTCAGCATCGAATATGTCACCACGTACCAGATTTAGTGCTACCAGGAAGAAGTAGCCATCGCTTTGGAGAGCGGGCACACTGCATAGTCGCAGATTCACTTCAATTTGCCTGTAGGGCGGTCGCAGCTTCGGTGCTTGTTGCAGTCCTACTCCGGACCTACTCCACTCATTGAACCATCCCGAAAGCTTGTTTGCCTTTACCTTATTCTCAACATCGACTAAGACAGTGACACGACTTCTGCTCCAACCTGTTCGCCACGTTCAAGGACAGCGTTGCTGCCAGCGCGTGGTACTGCTGCCGCTTTCCGAGCTCCAAAGCATGCGTTGAGGACTCGATGAGCCTAAGTCGAGGGACATGGGCCGAAAACTGTTTCAGAGTATAAAATTCGCAGAAGCAGAAGCAGAAGTAGTAGTAGCAGTAGGCAGAGGCAGCAACACGGGTGGCGGAAGCGAACCTCTTCATTGCGGGCTGGTGGCGACCGAAACCTCTGGCGATCTGACTCAGCAAGAAACTCGTCCAACGAGCGGCTCTTCAGCTGGCCAACCTGAGAGCACTTTCGCTTCGCTTTGGGCTTGGGGGCTTCCGGGTAAACCTTCGGGTACTTTCTTTTCCCAAGGAATCGATGCGCCGTTTGATTATGCTCGTCAAATCGACTTTCAGTCTTCAAAATTCAGTCAAGCTTTCGCAAAGCTTGACGAGGTTGAAACGAGACTGCACGCCCAGGTAAAGCCTTGAACTGAAAGAACGGGTTCCTGAAAGTCAGTTTTTCAGCCTGTGGGGAGGGCTTCTTCCACCGTAAGTCGGTTGGCTATGAGCAAAAGCTATCCAGAAAATGCCCTCGGACACGAAAGCCGGCAAAGCAGAAACTTCAAGCTTGCAGCTCCCAACCATGCCATTTCCGTGCCCCCGGTACAAAGGCCTCGCAGCCAAGGAAGTGAGCTAACTTCGACGATGGGTCCTCGCGCCACGACGGATATTGCGACGAGGAGGATTCTCTGCTAATGTTGGTGCTGTGCCACCACTACTACTACTACTACTACTACTACTACTACTACTACGACTACGACTACAACTACGACTACGACTACGACTACCACTGCCACTGCCACTGCTACTGCAATAGTAACAATACGACGACTACTGCTACGACTACTATTGCTACTGCTACTGCTACTACTACCACCACCACTACTACTGCTACTACTACTACTACTACTACTACTACTACTCCTGCTGCTACCACTACTAATAATAGTAATAGTAGTTTTTGTCGTGATTGTTACTATCAGTAGTAGTAGTCGTCGTCGTATAGTAGTACTAGTACTAGTACAGTACAAGAAGTAGAACTAGTACTCGTACTCGTACTCGTAGTCGTAGTAGTAGTAGTAGTCGTCGTCGTCGTAGTAGTAGTAGTACTGCTACTACTACAACTACTGCAACTACAACTACTCCAGCCACTACTACCTGCTGCTCAATTGCACCCATCAGTCGAGGTTTGGGCGAAGCTATGGCTTGCTAGATCAGCGAGTAGAACCGCTGTTGCCCAAAAATCTCGGGCCTGGAAGACGAAAGCCGAGCTGAGGCAGGCCTCCAGCTTGGCTGTTAAGCTTTTAGAAACGCTGTCGCACTTTGCAGCGACTTCGAGCTTTTGGAACATCAGCCTGGACTAGTCTCCGGTTGCGGTGGAGAGCCCGAAGCACCAGGAGCAGGCTCTGGAGCTCTACACAAGCACCAGCGAGACTCAGCACAAAATCAGCATCGGCAGCCGCAGCTGCAGCAGCAGCGGCAGTGTCACACATCTGGTAGTTGCAGCAACGTGAACATTCATCCCCAGCAGCAGAGGCAGCATCCACCGATAGCAGCAAGAAAAACATCGGCGCATCGCGACTTCATGGAGGATTCCCACATGGTGAGCCGCCAAGTGTTTGACCCAACAGACCCTCCCGGATCTGAAGATGACACCTAAGCACTCAAAATGACTCGACCGGAAAATCTTCAGGACATGACTTGCGCGGTGCGGGGAGCCTCGGCATCGCATTGGCTAGACAAGAGGGCCCTGACGGCCTCCAGTGAAGCTTTGGCATCGGCCACCCTGGAATTGCGCAGCTTCTGCTAGCAACCCTTTCTTGCATTTTTGTTGTACTCCTTTGGGGGAGCCGCTAGGACAGGAGGTGTTTAAAGCTTGGCTCGGAGGCATCACCCCCAAAAGCTGTCAACAAACTTGGCCCTGCTTGAAGATCCTGATTCCTCCCCTGCTAGGCGACTTTGTCAAAGCTTGAGGTGCGGTTTTGCGGAGTCTCTCTGCTGAGGAGCATGCTGCGGGCTGGTCGAGCACAAATGCGAACTCTGCAAAAACACCGACAAACAACAAATAAAGCAACAAACAAGCAAGGACATCGAGAGTGACCGGGAGCAGGTGAGCGGGAGAGAGATGCAACAACGCAAGAACAAACATCCATTGCAGTTTGTACCCACATGTGCAGGGAAGCAGCTAGCATGCTTTGATAATAACAGTAACAGTAATAATCGCAGAAATAGCAACTCGATAGTACAGGTAGCAGTAAGGGTAGCAGAATTGTGATAGACAGATGTTGGCAATAATAGTCGTAAACGAACTAGTAATCGTCATGGAGATAATCTTTGTATTCGTAGTATAGGTAGTAAAGGAGATCATACGGGCGATAATACTAACAAGTCTTTTCTTGGAACTTAATGTATATGTGGATATGAGTACCATATTTACATACATATATATATATATATACATGCACAAACACGTCTGCGTGTACATGCACGTATTTAAGCTATGTACATACCTGTATGTGCAAACACTTATATACGACATTTGTGATCAAAGCAGCGAAGAAGCACGGAGGCATGCATCACGACACAATACACTGATCAATGCTGCTGCAAGAACCCCGAACACGTTCTTCGCGTTCACAAACAGCCAACCATATATATATATATATATATATGTCATGTTTATAGTCCAGAACCTCTTTGAAACAATCGTGAAGGCTCCACGCTTCAGTGTGAGGAAGCGGAAAGGTTCGACGTCAACTACTGTCTGCACAAACGGACATAGAACCGCATGAACTAAAGGTGTCCAATGGCCGAGTATCTGCTGCGTCATGAGGAGGAACTGCTTCAAGCAGGTCTGGACTGTGAACCAGATCACCCAGAGTAGAACCTGAGCAGCACGGTGACAATTCAATCTGTGGATCGCCGCCCGCTGCCCAACAGAACACGGATCTACGGAAAGCAGCTGCCCCCACGATGTGCATGGTCAGCTCTTCCACGGTGGAAGTGGTGTACTTCACCGCAGCGCGCAGAACCACAAAGCCAGACCTCAGGATTATTGCGAACTGCTTTGAGGACTGAGCTGACGATGTGAAGCCGGGGGTGCGGCTGCAAAAGCAAGGCCTGCCAGTGATCCATCATGGCCAAGCCTGAGAAAGGAGAGAGCGCGTTCTTGCTTACAAGGGCGCCTCAAAAAAACCTGCCTGCTGTAACCCGAAAAGCCATCATCAAGGCATCCTCATGAAAATCCATCGTCCTCGGGCGGGAAAAGGCTTGCAACAAGTGTGACTATGCCCACGCGAGCTGCTTGCCCAGCCTAGGCACATCTCCCGTAGCAGGAGCACGACGTGGACAGAAACAGCCAGCAGCTTTATGCGCCAAATGCTCAGCTGAACGCGGCCCGACAGGAACACGGACCAGACCAGCAGATAGATACCCCCTCCCAGAGCCCGGATGTAGTCGAAGGTGGTCAGACTGTCCTGGGTTGTCTCCACGGCGAAGCAAGGAACGTCCATGGCCTAGAAGAACCGAAGTAACAATCCGACTAGATACCATCATTTCTACTAATTTCTACTCCACACTCGACGGCAATGCAGCAATTACAGAGCAAGCATAGGAGCCCTCGCTCGAGTCTGGATGCTCAACAAGCGCCTCACGGCTGTGCAAGAGAAGCCTTGGCCCTTTGCCACCAAGACTATGAACCAAACCCAACTGACTCATGCTCATTATTCATATGGGAATCATGTTTCGGAAAAAACGCAGGATATTGGGGTTCACTTTGCTTTCGAAGCCAAGCCACTGGTCTCAAAAGGACCTTGAAGGTAAGGAAGCCGTACTTCCTCGGCTGTGCTGGGTCTCGCCTGATAAGTAGGAACTCAATCTGGGCCCCCTCTGCGACAGGATCGCAGCAGGATCCGCTCCAACGGAAGCCAAGGATCAGAAGAATGACCGAGCCTCAGATGCGATGCCAAACTTGACATGCCCAGACAGCCGCAAAAGCCATCTGACGAGACTAGGCCCATGAAACAGGAGCAACCACAAGCCCTTGCCATCGGCTGAACACATCCACTCTGGGCAGAATGGCGTGCTGTACGAACCAAGTACTACGCCTCTGAAGCCTGAACAGCCTCAGCACAGGAAATGCATTGCTAGCCTTAGAGCACCAAGTTGCTGAGCCCCAAGATCAGGAGGGTGCAGAAAGGCTTGTGCTGTTCCATCATGGCCTCCTTCCTCTCTTCATCGAGCTCCTGAGGGCCACCCAGCGAAGGCCAACCCCTCGTATCGATGACTTACGGTTCTGGTAAAGTAGATTCTATTGGGGCTTCACGTATCTATGCGCATCTGAGGAGTACGATTGCGGGGGCTCTAATTATTATTGCTGTTCTGTCTTGGCTTCTCCGATGCGCTGGCACACCCCCGCATAGGTCATCATTCGGAGAGCGACCTGAATATTGTCGCCCGGTAGATGTCTGGACATGGATGGGCCCGTGGGTAGACAAACAGACTTAGATTAAGGCGTCGATGGATGCGGGATCGTACCGGGTATAGATGCAGTCACACTGGTACAGCTACAGGTAAACACGGAGATGACAGATGTAGACAGGAGCTACAGGAGATAACAAACACAGTTGTCTTTACTTCTCCAGCGGCTGGCATGCTTCTGTGACATGCCATGTTGTCATGCGTCTTGCACCTCGGAACCTGCCAATGTCATGGTCTCCTCGGAAGGAATGCAGTCCCTCAGCAACCGCCCGCTGCCTCTCCTCAGTGGCCGCATCGGGAGGGGGGCGGGGCGAGAGAGAGAGAGAGATGTGGTGTCCAGAGGAAGCATCGCTTGATGCATGAAGCACAGCAAGTGGTTCCCCGGATGTTCGAAATGCGATGCGCCGAGGCACAGGTGAGCTGCGAGAGCCACAGCCAGAACGCAGGGAGTGCAAAGGCCGGCAGGTGCTCGACCCACCTCGAAGCAGTCCGGGCGGACTGCCCTACTGAATACCCTGCATCTAAGCGCGTGTTAGGTGCAGAATGGACGGAGGGAGTGGTAGAATTTTGCCGCGCCTCCTGCCAGACATCCATGCCTCTGAAGCCTTTGCGAGCTCGAGGCTGCTCCAATGGCCCAAAGAAAAGGCGCGGCGGGCTTCAAAGTTTAGGGCCCAAAAGAAGACATAGCTTGAAACTGCAGGGGAGCAGGGGGAGTCCAAGCGTACGAAGTGGGCTGATCCTCCTTGGCTCATGCAACTTCAGAGCGCCCTTTTCTGAGGTGTGTAGGGGTTAACACGCTGTGTCACTTAGCCCGAGCCCGAGATCTGCAGCACTCGCCCCCCCAAATCTGCACAGGTCTCGGCTCTTTGACTGAGAGCTCCCTTCAGATTCCCTGCTTCAGAGCTTCAGGGCTTAGGTGTCGCGTGATCTCGGCGCCCCCACGTGCGCAGTGAATCTGAAATGCAGGGCTCCTGTCGGTTCCGGGAAGTCAGCTGCACACAGGGAGTTTGATTGCGCTTCCGCAGACTTCAAGTTCTGCTAGAGACCGGGGTTGGCTTCAAGATCTCTGGGCTTTTCCCACAGGGGCTGGCGAAACCTTCGTAGCCCACCGTTGTAGAAGAATCTTGCTCCCCTGCAGCTACAAATCCATGCGACTGTATGCACGGCATTTCTGCATTAAGATCCTCCATGAACTCGCTCCTAGGTACTGTGCACCTGCTGCAGCGCTTGTGTACTTACAATTTCCTGCGACGGACACAAGACCTTGACCTAGTCACCAGCAAAAGTCAATAAACAATGAATAGGGCTCGAAACGGAATCCTAGTCCAAACATCCAAGAACACCCGTTCACTATGCGATTGTGCTTCGGACGCGCTTAGAATTTAGAATCAGCATGGGCCAGAAGAACTAGCTCAGAGGAGCTCTGACGTAGAACAACCTGGAGCCCTGCTAAGTCCGAGCCGCTGCCATTCGCCGCACGAGCATGGAAGGCCGTGCCAGCCTGGTAAAGGACTGTCTGTTTAGGGTTTCAGCATGCCTATTCGTAACATGTAGCATGCAGGCAATGTAGCACGCTTCGGATGGTGCAGCAAATCACGGTAGACAGCAAAGTGCCGTCTAGAGTACTCGTGAGCTGGCGAGCTCAAGAAGATTACGGGAAGAGCGACCTTGTTAAATGTACAGCGCAGTGCGCAGTCCGCAGCATAGCGACGCACAATATACTGTACTACATTACTTCAGGGAAGCAAACAACCCGTACGGGTAGCATCTAAGGGAATCCAGGCACGGCTTTGTTTTGATGCTATGCTTCTGAAACCAGCAACCTTTGTGGCCATCCCACTCCCCCGACCCGCAGAGAGACCTGAAGAACATGCAGAGTCTGCTTAATGTCCGGAATCGCCGTTCCGGACGTCATACGCAAAACAGCATTAACCACGAGCACCAAGCGTTTGAGCCTGTGTTTACGACTGAAGACAAGATTTGCACAGATTCTGCAAAGGACACGAACAGATCCCAACCCAGCTGGGTGCGGTGACTGAAGCCCCCGAGCTTCTGCTTGCAGGTTGGGTTGCCGCAGACGAGGCCTGACACTCTGGTAGTGCCACATGGGTGGACAGTGGTGGATCGCTGGCCAATTTAGGAAGCCTTTCAGACTTTCACATGCCGATGTGGGTTCAGGAAAGCTGGTATAGAGATGCCGGGGCTGGAGACCCTTCTTGGGACTGGGCGTCCGCTCTGGTCATGCAGGTCGCCCATCCACCTGGGACTGCAAATATCGATTGCAACAAGAAAGGCTGCAGGTGCATGGACCATCATAGGCTCGTCCATACGTACCCCTCAGCCTCGCGCTTCATGGGCTGGACAAACCTCGGTATAGGAAAATACAAGTCGGAAAGTATCAACTCACGTCCGCTCCAACCCTGAACTTCTCCGTCCCCTCTTTTCAAGTCAACCCATCGGTCACTCTGTTCCCGGGCCGCGTGGCAAGGAGGTGCAGTCGATCTTCGTGCCAGCGGCAGCTTCAGCCTGGCGATCGGCTCGCCAGTCGCCGTAGCCAGCCTCGCAGATGGCCACATGTGATGTCCGATACATGCTTACAGCAGGTCTCCATGCATACAATCACTCCGGCTCGCTTAATTGCATTCGTCCTGGTATCGGAGCCGCGGTTATACGGAAACGCCGAGGAAAGGCGACGGCCTGTCGCTGCCCTCCTCGCTGGTGCTGGAGGACATCGAGGTCGTGAAAGAGGGCTGCCTAAAGTCTGAAGGCAGCCAAGGCTTCTGGCACAGCGGTGGGGACAGCTGAACTGGCCCTCTAGCTTGAATGTCTTCAATTAAGTAGGTGACTTACTTGTGAAAATGTTTCAGAAAATGCTTCAAGCGATTTCCGCGGAGGCCTCATCGTCGACCTATGACCATGACCGAAACTTACACACGATCCCCCACCCTGCACACTTTACGCCGTGCCACCACCGACGAATCCAGGCTCGCTGAGGCCGCGACACCACACTTCCGACAGAAGTACGTCCACTCGGGAGTCCTCACAGCGGCAACCGCGATGCTCATGCCGTTCTGCAAATTAGAGGTCACCGTGGGATGCTACTGACATCTGCTGGAATTTTGTGACACCTTGGCCACTTGCATGGAATTCTGTTTACACACGTTAACCATGAGTCCAGCGGCTTGCCAAGGGCCGAAGCCAGACGCGGATGCGATGTGTCGGCAACGAGAGCCCAAAGTTCCAGGAGCTTGAGATAGCGATGACTTTCATCTGCCAGTGTCCTTTCCGGCATAGCTCCGTGCACAGCATCTTCATCGCTGTCAGCTGCGGTCGCTTCGTTGGTCGCCTTCCGCTGCATGGGAAGAGTGGGGGTTTCCCGATTCGCAGGTGTAGCTTTTCTCCCACCTCGGTTTCCCGGAGCTCAGAGTATTCTGCAGTCAGAGCTTCAGCAGATCCCTGAAGCGTCTGGTATCAGAAGTCACAACCATGGTCTGTGTGAAGTCTGTGTGGTTCTGGATGAATTCGGCCTTTTGGCTTTCCCCATGTCGTTCATTGGCCCCTCAATAGATGCTTATCTCTGCTGCTTGGCGTTGACTCGCGAAGTTGCTGCTGCATGCCTCCTCGTCGTGCCGTGCCCGTTTAATGCACTCTGCGGACTCTGCTTGTGCATCCTGCATTGTGACAGTGGTTACCCTGTAATCGCTATTGAGCAGGCTAATGATGCGGCACTCAGATCAGCCAGAATGCTTGGAAGTCGTCACGAGAGACAGGCTCTACCGGACAAGTACATAGTGCAAGGAATGTTCAGCAAAACACAGAAGTTGATCCTGCTCCTGTCCTACCGTTCACCAATCATCTCTCGTACATCATCCTGCACCGCGGGTGAACGAAAGGTTGCTGCCCTTCAACAGCACCTCCTCAAGATTGTGCTCGGTCACCGAGCCGTTGCCGGGGTCGGCCCTGCCAGTCGGCAACTAAAGTCCGCATCGGTGGGCGACAACAAAAAACATCGAGCTGCTTTCTGCGACGACCCTTGCAGAGCACAGCATCAGGACCTGCCCGACCCCAAAAGCATGACCGTGCTTGAGACATCATCCAACACAAATGTTGATAACATCAAGCCTGTAACCTGCTACCGTGATCTCCTCTTGCAGCTAGAATGTGGAGAGCAATGTGCAGACTTCGGAAGGCTGATCTTTCCCCATCTGCGGCAACGACGAAACGTTCATGTCCGGCGCACTCCAGATTTCGACTCGAGTTCAGGGTATCAACTTCTCGCCTCTCTTTGAAATCTTGGCGAACCACAGATGCAGCTGCCGCCGCCTTTTCCATGTGCTAGGATGTTGCGGGCTCAACGTGTCTCAATCTTCAAATGCTTCGGCCCTTTCCAAAAGCTTTCGATTCGAAGGCGTTCCTGCTGTCATTACCGGCAAATCCTGGCTTCCGCATAGCTTTGGCCGATGTAGCCGACGTCATAATTTACTCCGAAGCTTGCTACAGCTGCTAGTAGCACAGGTCCTCCCCTGCAGCTGCTGCTATGCCTAGTGCTACTTCTTCCCTGCCAGCATCAGCATCGTCATGCTCGTCATCGCCGCATTGCCACCGTCATCATCACAGCCGTCGCTGAGCCAAACTGACTGGACCGGCGAGTACTTTAAGAGAAGGAGCTCCTGTAGATCGGCCTTCGACCCGGAACAGAAGCCTCCAAGAGAGTAACCGAAATGTCCGGAAATCCCATTCCAAGCCACGAGGCCCCTAACCCTGAAATGCTAGAAAACCTCTGCCCTGCGCTTCACCTGCAAAGGCGCCATGCACTGAAGCGCGCTCTGCCAACTGTCGAGGCTCGCCTCCCATCAAGGTGGAGATTCTTCGCGGTTTCCCAGGTCAAATCATAAACACTTGAAGTGCGGAGGGCGGGATTCCACTAGAGTCGGGCTGCTCGAAATCCGGACCCGGGCTTGGCCCATGCACCATGAATACTTGTACGAGCTGTTGTTGCACAGACTGCGTCATGTCACATCATCTCGCCTCATTCCACACTGTACCTCAAGCATGACATTTTGACATTTTGCACAACCAGAGCGTGCATGCATGCATACATACGTACATACATACATACATACATACATACATACATACATGCGAGAAAGCGAGCGACCTGTTTGAGTAGATAGACAGATATGATATAGACATGAGAGATGGAGAGACGGAATGTTCGCGATCCCAGGAGCAGAAGAATATTTTGATCACTCACATCAATCACGATAGCAGCAAGGCCGTCTCACTAGCTTCTCTGAGAAGCTGTCGGATCGCTAGATGCTTGTCTGGGGGGGGTTCTGATGTTGAAGTGTGGAAGCCTCCCGTCCCTCGCTGAGCTGCTGCAGGAGCTCGTCCGCACAGGTAACCTTCAAGTGCAATTCAGATTCACTGCAGACTCCGGATCGCTCAAGACTTGAGGATGAGCCCTCCGAAGACTCCCCCTCTCCCATCCCTCCCCGCCGAGCGTACTCTGCACTCGAAGCTCGAAACCAAAAGAGCTGTGCCTCCGTGTATGTCAGCGCATGTGCTGCAGCCACTGCAATGGCAGCCGACAAGCCGCCGCAACCTCGAGAGTAAGAGCGAAGGGCTGTGCGTTGGGACACTCCGGAGCTTGGAGTGGCTTTTGCACAGGTCGAAGTAGTCTTCGGCATGAGTTGGGGCCGGGGCAAAAGGCTGGCTCACGCAAGAAACCAAGCAACTCTGCGACCCTGTGGTGATACGAGGTCCCCGCTGGGCGATGCAGCCAAGGTTACCGCCACTGCCGCAGCGGTCTCAGAGCAAATCGCAGCGAGGCGTGACAGAAAGTGCCAAGGAAGCTTGCACTTCTCGACGTCTGCGCAGCGCGTCCTGGCCTGCTTTTGAGGAGGTTCAGCGCTGCCAGGCCTTTCAGCTTTCGGGGCTCGCAGGAAAGTGCGTGGAGGCACGAGTTTGAACTTCAAGACTCTCCAGTGACGGCTTTCGCCAGGCCGAGCTCCGGAAGATGTACATTATCGTTACTCTTCTGATTACTAGCATCATTATGTACTATTACTGGTACTACTAGTCGTTGCTAGTGTTGCTACTATGACACGGCAGTTCTTGGCGTAGGAGTCCATGTCAGGGGCTTTCGGGGAAAGTTGAACTTCGCGTTCCTTGCCAGCACAGCAGGCCGGTGCCTCCAAAACAGGGCCCGCATCTCCTGCACAAGGCAGAGTCTGTTCCATTATTTTGGAACGATTCTGTTGAGTGTTCTATAATTCTATAGGTTCCACGGCTGGTCACACACACTTCGGCCCGTCCGAGAGTTCTCGGACACAGAAAATCCCGAAACAGTGGGTTTCGGCAGTGAAGCAACGCGAAGGCACGTCGTCATGACCCGAGCGATGGTCTGCTGGGTCAAAGAGCAGGAAGGCCCTTGAAGGCACTCAGGGCATGGCGGTCTACAACAAGCCCAAGCCCCCCCACCCGCCCGAGCCTCCTTTTGCAGCTCCGCTCGGAACTTCGGCGCCGCCTCACAGGCCAGATCAGGGGAGCGAGTGCAGGAAGGTGAGAGACGAACTTGTGAGTCTGTCTTGCCCCCCTGGCCAAGTGTTGCACACTGCTTGTTTAGATGGAGGCTGAGCGAAGTCGGGGCTTCGTTGTCATGGCCGAGCCAGGGCGAAACATTCCCAGCTATGATGGCTGGTAGACTCCGAGTCCACAGACACGCCCAGAGTCAGATGCGCGCACACACACAGAGACACCACGAGGATATGAGCCCCACTCGTTGGCAACGAGTGCCTTCTCAAAGATGCTCCGGACGCGACGTGACCATCGAGGGCGCGACACGTGACCAAGGTTTGCGGGGTAGCTCTGCTTCGATTCCAAGAAACATTGGAGTAGCATGTGTAATGGCTTCGGATTCGGAGCTGGAGACTTCCAAGTGCGCTCATGAAGATCTGTTGCCATTCAGTTGTACACTGCATCATGTTTCCCATAACAACGTAGGACATAACATCGTTAGGAATATAGTCTC